AAATATGAATCCATGAATCGAGTCAAATTTCGACACTTTAACAAAGTTAGTGTCATTTAATTCAACCCAAATTTAATTTTAGAAAAAGATGAGTGAGAGTAACGTGCCACCTCTTGCAAAGAAAGTTATCAAAGCAGTGCATGTGATTACTCTTTCAGGCACATAATTACCAACACTAATGGCTGCCCACACATGGTGATGGAAATGACGAATTGTGAAACTAAAGAAAAGCAAAGTGTGGGTGAAATAATTTGCAAAGATGATGCTCACAGTTCAAGGATTCCCGAATCGAGCAAAACAGCTTTCGTGGTTGGCTGCTGTTAGGCATGAGACAAGGGTGGGTGTTTAATTCCGCGGTTGGGGCGAAACATTTATGGTTTGCTTTTAAGGTGGAATTATATCTTTACCTGAACTAGGAATTCATCAAAGCCCCCATGCATGAGGGGCACTTTGATTGGTATTATTATTAGCCTGTTGCTCGTATTGATATTGGGGTGCACTTGCTTCCTGTAGCTGTGCCTTGCGGAGGCAAAAGGTAGCTTGGTTGTCAAAATATAGAGTTAGTGAAAACTTTTTATGACATCTCAATTTCACGTCGAGATGTTATAAAATTTTGTTATAATATATAAGTAAAATTTAAAACTCAAAATTTTGATGTATTTTTGGAATAAAATAATGAGACTTTTGGATCAAAAATAATATTTTGCAAGTTAAGTATAAGTCTTCACAAACGGTATAAAAATAGTCACTAATTAGACGAGATCCATCTTTAGATTCTAAACGTTTGTATGATTTTGGTTCTATATGCACGGTTTTATGATTTCCTGTGTGCTTTATACTAAGCTTAATAAGGACGTTAAGTTTTAAGGAGAGGAATTTGTGATACCATGATCTTATATTAAGATGTTTGAAGAATTTAATATGATATATAAGTAAAGACTTAAAATTTAAATTTGTGAAGTATTTTTTAGGAATAAAATCGTAAGACTTTCAAATTAAAGTGGATAATATGTCGCAAATTGAGTGTGGATCTCCACATTTCATCATATCAAAAACGAATTTTATGAATGTTTGTATTCTCTTATTTTTGAGCAAAAGTTATAGATGTTTCGATTTGAACTTCAATTTTATTGGATACCATCTTTTAAAGATTAAATATATGGATCAATTGAACTAAACTTTCGGATTTAAATATCTGTATTCTTTAAAACATATGAGTGTACATGTCACGGACTTAAGGAAGAGTCTTGAATTTCACATCGAACATAATAGGAGGGTCACTGGGTTATAAAATGGTTCACACACTCTTCTTTGTGAGACGCATTTTGTAAGACAAAACCATGAAGCCATGGAGACCAGAGTGGATAATACCTCACAAGGGTGTGAACCATGACAGGTAGGCTGATTTGAGACGCCGGAAGAATGCATGTCCGGGTCCCGGAGCCGCACGGATTGGAGCTTAAGTCTCGACCCGTGACAAGTGGTATCAGAGCCAGCCTAAACCTTTCGACCCACTCCAAGCGCCTCGAGGGGGTAGGCAGAGTGGCCAACTTTCATGATGAGGGCGTCACGAGGTTGGTAGGGGAGAATGTCACGGACCTAAGGAAGAGCCCTGAATCCCACATCGAACATAATAGGAGGGTCACTGAGTATAAAAGGTTCACACTACCTCTTCCTTATGAAGGTGCTTTTTGTAGGACAAAACCGTGAGCTCAAAGAGGGATCAGAACGGATAATATCTTACAAGGGTGTGAACAATGACAGGTAGACTAATCTGGAAAGTCAGAATAATGCATGCCTGGGTTTCAAAGCCACGCGATTCGGAGCTTAAGTCTTGATTCGTGACATACAAACATATATCCACATGTCATTTGTGAAAACAGTTTATATCAATGCAAACAATGTTAATTTTTAGTGAACCTTTGCTAACAATAAACAAATAGAAAAGAAGAAACAATTGCAAGCAATGAAGTGGTGATATCACTTAGTTGAGAACTTACTCTTTCTGTTTTTCAGTTTAAAGAATAAAAATAGCGAGCAATACTTTTCAACCATCTAGATGCATATTGCAAGGCCTTCCAAGTTAAATTTAAAAATAATGTACACTTGAAAATTAATTAAGAATTTATTATCTTGCATTCCAAACTTTTATTTCAATGATACATGCATGTATATATTCGTTGACATTGAAGTTTTTCCCCAGTAGACTAGCAAATTGACGTATATCCTTATACGATATAATAAAAAATTATATATATGTATGTATATGACAACTTCAAATCCACTTATGAAATTAAAAGATCTATCGTTGATGTATAAAAAACGAATTAAGCTTTAGATGTCATTGAAGTGCACATTTGAACTAATTTTACAGCACCCATCGACCACTGGCCATAGTGATTTACATATATAAGAGATCATCAATATTGCTTATGCAACCATTACTGTAAAGAAAAATACGATCCCTATCTCTAAACATTTTTAATATTCATGAACCGAATCATGATAATTAAAACAAAAAATTTCGTATTTTATCAACATATCATAATCATTAACTAAAACAATTTTAATATCATTTTGCTTCCCAAATATTATTCTTAAAACCTTCCAATATGCCACATATATATATATATAAACTTACACTAATGTAAAATTTTTTAATTTTACATATTTTTTAATTATTAATTTCAATAAATTAAGAGATGAGATTAAATTATTTTTTTTATTTTTTTCACTTATCTCTTTTATTCATTAAATTTATTAAAATCAATAATTAAAAAATTTTACATTAACATAAATTGATATCTTCTCTCTCTCTATATAACCCAAGTTTTCAAATTCTTCATCATCATCAAAATCAATGTCTTCTCCTCTCTTCCCTGAACTTCTTCTTCATCTTAAGTTTGCAAACACTCGATAAAAAAAAATATACTATCCTTATCCCATGCACACACATATACATATATATGCATATATATATATATATATATTATCGTAACATATATTGACTTATAAAAATGAAACTGATAAGTCAAAGCAAGCAACATTGATTAACCCAAATTTCAACTTGGCCCATGAGTACTTCCGTATAGATCATCTTTCATTTGGTTATCATTTTGTTTCGTCGATATTAATCAATAATGATATATAATGCACGCATATAATAAGAAATATATCTGAATTATTTGCGAAGTCCTGTTTTAAAATCATCGAAAAATCAAATAATAAATACCAAATCTTCTAAATCTAGAAAGATAATTCTTTTATCTTCATGTCATTATCAAGAAATAAAAGAGCTTGATAGCCACTAAGATGGACATGTAGGGTTTGACAAAATCCTCCTGAAACCCTAATCAACCATCTTGTTGAGGTGGGTGGCGTATCAAACTCATTTATTCTTTTCTCTTTTTTTCTTTTTCATGCTTTTATGGAGAGAGAACAAGTTGTGATGGATAATGATATAATATTCATATTTTTCCATTTATGGGCTCCACTTGCTTCAAAAATATATATATATCGGCTCCAAGACTAAAAGTTTTGAGTTCAAATTCTAATAGTAATCCAAACTAAATAAAAAATAAAAAAAAATGTGATATAGATTTGCAAGAATTGATTTTGATAAGGATGAATCATGAATTTACTGAAAGGGAAAAAGAGATGCATATCCAATGGTAGCCCACATTGATTGATGAAGTTTGGTGTGGTAGATATCCATGGGGCACCACATGGGTCATTTGTTGGGGCCTTCATTTTTGTTTTTGTGATTTCTTTAAAGTTTAGTTTCACATTTTCAACTAAATCCAAATTTGTTTAATCTTTATTTGATCTAATTCTAATGTGTTTTCAACACTTTTTTGACCTCTAATGAGAGAGAGGATTTTGCATTTGGAGTAATGGTTGACACCCATGTTTTAGACCAAACTAAAACTTTATCATTTTTGTTATGATTAGAATAAATTAGGGTTAGCAAATCCCAAATCTTAAGGTGATTTGAGGGACTAAAGGTTTTAGAGATGTTAGATTGGAGCATTGGTATTCTTTTTCAATTTTTATGAAAAAAAAAGGATAATTAAAAGTAATTTCTATCAACGTACAAACAAAAGTTAAAAAAAAAGTCATTGGGAAGAGAATATATATCTAGCTTGGAATAATTCATGATAAGTCTTTTTCATTTTTTTTCTTTTTTAATGTTATTTTTTTATAAAAAAATCATAATTTATGGATAAAAAAATTATAGGTGCTCAAATTTAATTTCAAATTTATTAAATGCCATCTATTAAAAATAATTATAAGAAATAACTAAATTAAGTCTCGATTTTTTTAATATTATTTTTTTGATGAGATAGATGACCTAAACTCCTAAAATTATTGCCTCTAATAAAACCCATAATTAATAAAACATAAGATTATAAATCTGCTTCTTTCTATATAAATTCAGCATAAGAAGCAAAGAATTATTGTATGCCAAAGAACTCACATAACCTTTCCTCTTTGTCTAATGGCTACTTCATCTATTTAAGAATTAAGACGCCACAACAGTTTGAAAGGAATAGTACAAAGTACTTTAGCATCCAAATGTCTTTATCAATCAAAAAAATAAAAGGAAAATATCTTTGAAAAATTGGCTTGTACACTATTGTCCATGAATTTCTACATATATGATAAGTAAAAAGATTATGTATATGTTTTCTTTTCTATTGTTAAATTTTGATATAATCTTCATAATTTTTTTTCTTTCTGTTGTCTATACCTTTTTTCAAGATATTCTAAACATATAAAAGTAAACAAAAAAAAAAGCAATGATATTTTTATAAATTTTTTTAGAACATGAAGAAATTTTGTTTGCTAAGTTTGTTATTTTGCTACTAATAAAAAATCGTGCTTGAAATTTTGGTTCAATGATTAATATATAATTTGAGCAGAGTTTCAATCTACCATTCCTTTTGTAGGGTATTTACGCAGAACTCTGTCTCTCTTAGGCCTATAAGCCCAGACTTTGATGGTTTGAGCCCAATTTTATTGTTTGGTCTCCTCACCTAGCCCCATATGTTTATAATTTATATTCTCTTACAGCCCCATTGCACTCTATAGGAAGCCAGATTCTTACAGCGAAATGCAGTTTTGTCTGTAGTAAAAGCAATTGATCTCAGGGCGTGCAAGAACGGAAACGAATTTAAAGGGGAACAAAAACCATTGTCACAGCAGTTTTGGAGGTTTCATTGGATTCGAACACAAAAACAAACTTTGGGTCTTTAGAGAAGGACAGAAAGAGTAACAATGGAGGTGGAATTGAAAGAGATGCTTGATGATCTTCTGTCTCTAAGGCAATCTTTGTCTGATCCTTCTCTTCATGCTTCAATTGACAAGGTACAATTTTGATCAATCTAAAAGTACATACTGCCGTGTTTAGTAGTATAGGTGTTCATGTGATGTTCTTTTTAGACAATTGGGAGATCTAGAAAGTTTGTAGCTTTATTGTGTTTTGTACTTGTTGAATTATGAAGAATGAGATTCATTCCAATTCTGGGTTGATCTTTGTTCATCTATCACTTGCCTTTTAGTTGCTAATTTTATTATTAATTGGCTTTTGGAGGGAAGATTGTTTACTTAATTTGCTCATTTGTGCATGTGAATATCTTTTTTCATGCATTTTGTGTTATCTATCTATGAAAGTTGGTAGTGTAGTATCTATGTTGGTTTAGCTGATGACTAGATTTTGTTAGGCATTGTTTACAACATACAGGAAAAGTTACAAATTTGGGATTAATGACAATATCAAATGTTTTAGTCATGAGGAAAGAGAAATTTGTATTTAACATGTTTGAGGCGTTTTACTTTGGTTATAACTTGTTTAATCTGTTTTTCAGCTGCAATCGCATGTTGACCATCTTACTCATCTTGCTAAGTCCGTACCTGTTAGACGATCAAAAGTCAAGGTTTTTGTTTCATGTACTTTCTTCTTGGCATTTGTTTTTCCAGTTCCTTATCTGCATTCTTCTGGTTATGGTTATGATTGTTATACTAATGCATGTCTGAATAATCTGATGGCAGGATATGAGCGCTGAGGTTGTTGATAGCAACCCTTATAGTAGGCTCATGGCACTTCAAAGAATGGGTATTGTGGAGAACTACGAAAGGATCCGGGAGTTCTCAGTTGCCATAGTTGTATGTTTTTGTCTTCTGCTTTCTAGATCTCTTTTCAGTAAAGCCTTGCCTAGCACTTACTATTAGTTCCATCCATTTTCTGTAGATCGATGATTCTTGTTATCCTGATTCAGTTCTCATCGGTAATCTTCTTGAATTTGCAGGGTATTGGTGGTGTTGGCAGTGTTGCAGCTGAGATGCTAACAAGGTGTGGCATAGGTCGCCTTTTGTTGTATGATTATGATAAAGTGGAGTTAGCTAACATGAATAGACTATTCTTTCGCCCAGAACAGGTGAGTTTACATACCCTTTTCCATACTGTTTTGTTTTGGCATCTAGTTGGATAATGACATGTTTCTTAAATAGTAAGTCAAGCATTTCTTTAAAGTAATATAACGTTACTGAAGTGCCACAAAATTTTTTGCTGCACCAATAGTTTTTTCATTGATATAAAGCCAGAATCTTGGCTTTGTGCCTTAATTTGAATAATCTGACTTTCAAAATTGCTTTTTCTATTAAGGTTGGCATGACAAAGACTGATGCTGCTGTTCAGACCCTGTCAGACATAAATCCTGATGTTGTGCTTGAGGTAAGTGTTTTTAATGAATGTCACCCTTGGATTTTACTCAAAAGGTGATGGGTGAGTTGGATTTCGATTAAATCTTAAGCTTCAAGTCCTACAGATGAAAACTAAGTTGATGTGCTGTGGATTTGGGTACTTCGCATAAATTTTGTTCCTCTATCTTCATTGTTATGTGAAATTGGTCCTTGTCTAGAGTTTGTCTGTTACTTTTTAGAGCAGCTGACCTGCTTTATTGTGTTTGTGATTCTTCCATGCATGCTAAATTTGTCTACAGGGAAGTGATGTCAAGCTATAGGTTTTGGGTTTCTAGTGAAACGAAAGACATAAACTTAATAATCCTCTTGTTGTCCTACAAGCTTTATCTTGTCCATACAGTATTGTTTGATGTCTATCCTAATTTGAACTTTTTACTGATAATAACATGATGCATATTCTTATAATTGTAAATGATCAATTTAGACCATTGCTGAGCATTTTCAGAACTTACCACTTTGATTGGTTCATTTTCTTTAGAGCTATACATTGAACATCACGACTGTACAAGGCTTTGAAACCTTTATGTCAAGCTTAAAAAATAAAACATTCCGCCCAAGTAAGGAAGGTAGTGGAGTGGATCTTGTTTTAAGCTGTGTAGACAATTATGAAGCAAGGATGGTGGTCAACCAGGTAATATTGACTTTTATGCCAGACATGCTGCTTTTTTTCTTTTAGGCCTAAGTTGATAGTGCCTGGTTTGATGACCTTGTAAATGAACTGTTTACTGTTCTTTAACTTTCTACAATATTTGATACTGTAACTGATTCCCTTTTTTTTGGTACATACAGGCCTGCAATGAGTTGAATCAAACGTGGATGGAGTCTGGTAAGAACTTATTTTTTATTAGTTCGCTAGTAACCAAGTTAATTGAACTCATTGGTAGAAGTATGATATCATAAGAATTAAGAAGTGCCTTCTGTTATTTTTATGTTTCAATCAGATGCACAAGTTTCCTTATGAGATATGCCTGTAATCCTGTGAAATTGATAGACTTCTTATCTTGATCCAAAGCCTCCACTTCCACAGCAATTGGTTAAACTAACTATAAGGTGTTTTGAGGATGCACATGGAATATTACAATATTCTTGTACTGGCATAAAAAATTATAAGTAGACTTGAAATTATCATTGGCATATAAGCTAATGTATGATAACTACAGTGTAATATCTCTTCTCTTGTCCATTTGACTTTCTAGTGGTTTGCATACTATATATGTATAGTCATGGTGTGCAGCAGCCAAAAATATGCTGATAAGATTCTAAGTAAAGATATAAAAATATGCTTGGTTTGCCCCTCTGCTGCTTCTGATGACTGAAAAGAGGAAATTTTGGGACAGGTGTATCTGAGGATGCAGTTTCAGGTCATATACAGTTGCTGATTCCTGGAGAAACTGCTTGTTTTGCTTGTGCACCTCCTTTGGTACATCCATCCATTAATCTATGATATTAGCTTAACATAGGTGTGACAATCTCTTGGGCATGTTTGTATAAAATTAAGTTATATGATCAAGAATGTAAAATATGAATATGGCATTTTATTCCTTTGTAGGTGGTAGCATCTGGAGTGGATGAACGAACACTTAAGCGTGAAGGTGTTTGTGCTGCATCTTTGCCAACTACCATGGTAAGCTTTTGTTCTTTCTGGCATCCTTTAGCTTTTTCTCGTCTACATACAAACGTACATGCATGAATGTGTCTATCTACATATATATATATATATCCACACAAATATAAGACATGAGTGATTTTATCTATACAGACACACACACATGCATATATACATGGTTGATTCCATGTATGCCTGTGTGCTTGTGCTTGTGTAATTGTCATGAGTGCGCATGAATATGTGGCTGCACATGTGCTTGTTTATCCTTTCAGAATGTACTATTTGGTACTTAAATCATTAAATTATATTTTAGCATATGTATTACCAAGAACTATTAAGTTGTCAGCATACTGTTTGGTACTTAAAATAAATTTTTTCTTGCTTTTCCTAACATCCAGTATATGAACTGACTTTTCAGGGAGTTGTTGCTGGGCTTCTAGTCCAAAATACACTTAAGTTCTTGTTGAAATTTGGATATGTTTCTCCGTACTTGGTAATACATCAACTCTGCCTCCCTCCTTCCTTCTCCATTGTTTGTCTGTAGTGTAATCCCTGCTTTTTCTTCCTCTGTACTAGCCTGAGGGAAGATTGACCTTCTATTAGAAGGTTGTGTGTGATGTATTTCTTGTGTAATTAATGGCTTCATGTGCTTGCCCTTGGTTTTTGATAGATTTTGGCTTTGTTGCTTGATTGTAGGGATACAGTTCTCTTAAGGATTACTTCCCAACTATGGCAATGAAGCCAAATCCCCAGTGTTCAAATGCTGCCTGTTTGCAGCGGCAGGTAATATAAAGGGATTTCTCTGTCTTTCAGGTCATTTAGGTTTTCTTCTGATGCTGGAATGGTTTATTGCTTTACAGAAAGAATACATTCTTGCAAAGCCAGCTAGGGATGCTGCGGCTAATGCCAAGATGGAAGCTGAGGCATCAGCCGCAGCAGCAGATGTGCCACTTCATGTTGATAATGAATGGAACATAAGGTACAAATCACAACTCCGTGAGAGGGACTGGTGCATGTTACACAATCTTGACTTGGACTCAAATTCTGAAAACCAATATTCTCTTTTTTATTTTGGTTGGTGTAGTTATATGATTCTGGCATTTGATCAAATTTGCAAATTATATAATGATTGACTGACATTTAAGTCAGAATGACCCACTTTCTGTGATCTTAAAACATGTTGCAGATTGTTTTGCATATGTTATATTCCTATCTCCTATCAATATCTGGTTTACTTTGGATATTAGCCAGTTTATGTATTATTTTTGTTTTGTTTTTGCAGTGTTGTCGATGATAGTGAGCAGGAGAACACAGGTGGCACAAGTTCAGGTGTCTTTTTGTTTTATGCTATTTATTGTTAACATTCTTCTAGTTTTTATTTACTAATTTTTTTCATATCTGATTGCATTATCTTCTCGCAAAGTTCGGGTTAACATATGAATAGAGGTCCTTTGTACAAAAATTTGAGAAAACTTGCAATGTTATTCCAGTTACTTTTCTTCTAATCCAATGAACTCTTAAACATTGGAATTTTGGCTTTTCAAAGGGTACAGCACTACAGTTGTCGAACCAAATTAAAAAATTTAGCTTTCTTAGTTGCTTATCAAGTGCATGCTAATTGTGCATAGCATACAGTTCTGACCCTATTGACAAGGATTAAATCTCCACCAACCCTTTTTGGGGACTGGCTTTCTTCTACCTTTGAGACAGCATTGCAGCTGGGTCATTTCTGATCTGTTGTTTTTGCCTTTCTATGACCCTTTCATTTGATTGTTGAAGCGGAGTTACCATGAAGTTTTAAACTTTCCCGTCTATTACCTTCCATTTGCTTGTCGTCTTCATTAACCACTCCTCTTTGATCTAAATATTTCATTTCCCTAATCTATTTCCCTCTCTATTCCTTCAGATGCTCTTCCAGAAGGTCTCACTCGTGAGCTTCCAAGTGCTGATGAATTTCCAAAGCACTCTACATATGGAGCCACAGATACTGCTGTTGATGACCTTGAAGATCTCCGGAGGCAACTTGATGCTCTGAATGCTGATTAATGTCCCAGTATAGCTTTTCGCCAAATGAAAGAAAACTTCTTTGGCAAACTAGGAGCACAGAGTCCATTGTTTGTGACCATCCCTTTGGGGGAAAATGAAGCAGTTCTTGGGGTTTAACATTCAAGCAAATGATAATTGACAAGATGATTGACAAGAATTAAACATGTTATAAGGAGAGTTTTGGAAATATGCGTCTAAGGACCAGTTCAAAGGTTCAATTTTACAATTTAGATGACTCCAACAAGTTTACCAGGTTGTCTGAAATCGGCACAATGATTAAATGAGAAAAAAAAAAAAAAAAAACTATCAAATTACACAAGTGGAGAGTCTAAACTGATACTTGCACAATAGGGGACATGGTACAGTGTACAACTGGACATCTCGTCAGTCCACTTTGCAAGATATAACAGAGCTGACAAGATATTCTCTTTTTTGTCAAAATGAAAACTGGTACAAGAATCTAAGTCTAGGGCTCTTTGAACTTAAGTAAAATTTGGTCCATTTGTGGTTGATGCTTTCTAACCTGTAAAGAAAATACAGATTCAAATACAAATAAAGAGCCCATGTCATCATGAAAAAAACACTAAAATGCACTTGGTGGACAAGAATATTCCAATAATTATTACTACAAATTCGTAAGGACAGATGAAAGACGTCATCTTATGCAAAACTGAATAGATAGAGCACGAAAGCACATTATGAAGAAAAACCACATGGTACTCTGATCATGAGGCTTCAATAGTTCAAGGTACTTTACTATGTAAAACTAACACCGTGGTTATGATAGAACTGTAGAACCGTGCAAGACAGCTTACCTTAACACCAGCCATTTTTAGCAGCTTGTGCGAAGCAACATATGCAGTGTCTGTATTCAGTCTCTTTTCTACAAAATATACGACTTCCGAGACACCTGACTGCGAGATAGCCAAATAGAAAGAGTCGTCATTTAAGGGCAAGAATAAAAATGACATTTTCTTTTTAAAGTATTAAGGGAACACTGGTGTCAAACCTGAATTATTATCTTTGCACATTCATTGCAAGGAAACATGGTCACATAAAGCCTCTGCAAAAATTTATAATGTGATGAAAGATCCTCAGTGCCATTACTAGTAAAGCTGTAAAAGGTAACTGGCTGTGGTAGCAGGAACTTGTAAGAAGAATCAGCAGAATTGACGTAACACACCTAAAGTTTTGATACTATGTTTGAACTTGGATTTATTAAAATTTGAATAATAGTTGTTAACTTATGATGCAAATTTCTAGCAGCCCCCAGTTCCGGTGTGTGTCTACTAGCAACTGGCTATAGGGGATTGAGTGCAACTAACCTGTCCGGCCGCAGTTGCATGATTCGTATTCAGGATAGCATTGACTTCAGCATGACAAACATACCTACAAAAGATGATTCAAGAATGAGTAACTAACCTAAGAATTAAGAACGCATGCAATCAATGGCAAAGAACAATTTTCAATCGGGTAAAATCATCAGCAACTAACTCGTACCAAAGGTTCAGGGCACCTTGAATAACAAGTATAAACTAATTACTACACAGAAAGAAACATAAGTAATAATATTAAGCCTTCAGTCACAAATCAAGATCAGTGAGAGTTCAGGAAAGCATGGTACTTACGGATACTTTGTCTCCAGTGGATCCCCAGATTTGGACAGCTAAGACATAATTAAAAGCACAAATCTATTAAGATGTTGCCTTAAAAATGTTGGAAACTTGTTTATTACATAACTACATGTACAAACCTTTGCCCATGGAAGTTGGTCATCAGAACAACCTCTTGGAAACCCATTGTAGCCAATCCCTGACCAAGGAAAAAGCAGCATCCATAAGTAATGACGGCTTAGTTTGGTGATTTAAGATTGCAATTCAAGCAAAAATCTTCCTTTTTCAAGATATAAGTTTAGCTACTACCAATCTTACCAAGTATTATACCATTTTGGCTCACCAAGCATGCACCAACCTGTAAAAACCAATAAAAAAAAAATCAAATGTCTCAACTTTAACTTATCCAGAATTAAATTTTCTAAAAATAAACAAATCAGTTGCAAAATTAAGCACTTTGGGTAGCTATTAACAAAAATTATGACCTCACCTGCCTGTTTGGGTCTTTGGACCGCTCAGCAGATAAAAATGCAATTGCCATAAAATAATCATCCCATGACAAATATCTGCATCCCCCCTCCCAAAAAAAAACCCATTTTTTTTAATAAATTAAAGATTTTTAACCAATAAATTAATTACCAATAATTCGAAACAACCAAATTTTACTAACCCTTTGCGTTTGGATGGATCGAAAAGGGTCCTTAGAGGAGCGTTTCTCTGAAACGTCGCCGTTTTTGGACGAATTGATTCGAGAGGAGTGTTTCCTAGGGTTTGAGAAGAATGTATGATAAACAAAAGCAGAGGCGAAAGCACCGAAGATAGTGGCCGTCGAGACCAGAGCGACCTCTCGGCAGTTCATATGGTCGGGGACCGGCTGTAGGAAAATGCGAGAGAATCTGCAGGAAAATGTTTACTTTCCGAGGGATAATGTTTCCACTTTCATTGGGCTAAAGCCTAAAGCTGAGCCTGAGCCACCAAGAAAAGTAGCGGGAAAGTTGAACAGCGGGAGAGTGAATCGCACGTGCGATTGCGAGCGGGTCGGTATAAAACATCAGTCTCACATGTGCATTTATCATGTCATATTTTATGTTTTATTCAAAATTTAATATATTAACAAAATATTTTCATTACATTAGCTTTGATAAAAAATTGCAAAAAATAAAAGTGCAATGACAATCCAAAATTCAATGAAAATGAAAGTACAGTGATAAAAATTATTTTTTATTTTAAATTTAAATTTTAAAATATATTAAATATCATCTTTTAAAAATAATTATATAAATCAATTAACTTAAATTAATATACTTTTTATGTTTATAATAATTGTAAAGACAAAACTTCATCTGTTTCTTTTTTTTTTTCGTCTTTTTTTTAAATATCTAAAATTTTTATTTTGCATATTTTAAAATTATTTTATTTTTGACATTAAAAATTATAAAATTTTAATTTTACAAAAAAAATTAATTTTAATATTAAATATATTAAAATTATCAATAAGTGATTGGTTTAATCGATTAAGGCTCATCTTTCTCGATGAAGAAGTTTTGAGTTCAAATCTTATCAATAATCATTTATTGGGTTATCTCGAATACACGATTTACAAATATCTATCTTAAACTGTCAGGTATAACACATTTTATTTTAACCTAAAAAACTAAACGATCTATCTACCTCTAAAATTTTTTTACAAAAAAAAATATTAAAATTATTTTTTAAAAATTTTGTAAAAATTAATACATCTCAAACATTTTAAAACGAAAGGAATATATATATATATATATATATATATATTAATTGACATGATATATTTTCAAGCAAAAACTGTGTTAAGAATGTGACTTACTCAAATGAGAGATTGCAGAAAGAAGCAATAGTTAAATTAGAAATGTAACTTGAATATTCCATCTCTCTAATACAAAGATCAAATAATAAATAATTTCTAACCTTTTCGGCTAAAAGTTAGTATAACATCAATGCATGCAACTTGTTCATAAAATCATAATAATAAACAATTAAATAAAAAGCTTTGCACATGGCTTCAATCTTTAAATTATGCTCACTTCAAGTACTAACTCAACATTCTTTTGATTAAAAAAAATGCATGACTTGATAACTTTTAAATGGTGATGGTGGAAAATGGAAAAATAAAATTTTCTTTTATTTTTAAATTTTAATAATCAAAATTCAATTTCAATCGAATCAACATTAAATATTAAAAAAAAAACTTTAATAGGACCAATGGGTACCAAACTATATACCAATCAAAAGGTGGATGAGATGATGGGATTGTTCCAGGCCACATGATGGAGAGTGGAGAAAGGTCTAAAGGAATAGGGCCCACCAGATGAACGGTCCAAGTGGAAGAGTCAGTATCCACAATCATGGTCAGGCTCACCACTTGTCCGTCCCACGTGCCAATCTGCCCTCCCCCGCCCCCGGTTGTGGGCTGCTGAGTTTGAAAGTTGAAACCTTTTTTTTAGTACTAAGGGCCGACATCCCCTAGGCCTACCATAAAGCAATGATCCATCTCCAAATATCATCATTCTCTTTATTATTTACACTTGGAAAAAAAAAAAGGTTCCCTAAACCACCCCCTAGCAACCCCGATCGCACGTGCGACTCTAATTATTACCCCTCCATCCTCATCTTTCCAAAAAGGAAAAAAAATGAAAAGAGCTTAATAAAATTATTAAAAATTGGTAGTAAAATATTAAGATAATATGAAAAAGAAGGAAAGAAAAAAAAAAAAAAGGCACAAAAAGGATACTCATAACCCAATAACGCGATCCGTTATTTCCCATGTTTTGGCTCTTCTATAACGGAACTCTTCCTGTTGTTCTTCTTTAATTTCACCATGATTTCCCCGTAATGTCCTTTACTCTCCGCATCTACTTGGAAAAAAATAATGCTATTTCATCTAAAAATCTTTTATCACGTACAAAATTTATTTACGTCATATCTAATAAATTTATATAAAATTATTCTTTTTAAATTTATTATAAGATTCAAATTCAAATAATAAAAAAATAAAGTTTTATATTTGAGTCAACATCCATTTACTTTTTTATTTGAAAACTTTGAATCAAAATAAATTCAAGATAATATTAAATTTAATAAAATTAAATTCAAGATAATATTAAATTTAATAAATTTGATTTTTGTTTTAGTTCATTATTAATTCGGATTTAAATTATCGAATATGTTGTCATTAAACTTGATAAATTATATATTTATGTTATATAAAATATTAAAATTATTGTATTTATATTATATTTTTTAACAAATTATATATTATAATTTTTATCAACAAGAAAATAAAAAATATATTTTTTATTTTATTAAACTCATATATAATTATTATTAAAATTTTAAATTATAATATTTTTATATTTTTATTATATTTATATCAAATCTTTATTTTGAATTTTAGATTGTTAGGTTACTTATTCGAAATAGTCCGTAATTCTATGGGGACTGAAAGGATGGATTTGTCATTTCAAGCATTAAAGTTGGTTTGAGTCATTTTGCATGGGAAGTATGGGTAAAAAGGTAATTAGGCCATGAGGTGAGTTGCTGCTTATATGAGGTAGCAGTTTGTTTGTGTCACCCCACTATCTCCCTCCCCTTGGCTATATTTCTTCTCTGCTTAAACCTCTTTATCTATATGGAAGAGGAAGATCAAAAAGAACTGCAGCTGCTCCCTACTCCGCTCGCTATAGCTTCATCATCCCAGATGTCATCTCGGGCCTCTGATTCTTCTTCACTCAGATATCGATCCACGGCGTCTGCTAGTGATCAATACGAAGGGCCTTCACTTGATTTGCAACTATCAATCAGTCTAAGGCCAATCCAGCAACCATCAAATTGTGTTATAGCAGGCCCCATTTGTGAGTTTGGTGATGCTAAGGCCGATACCAGCTGCGTTGAGTCGTTGAAATGGCAAGCGGCGGAGCAAATTCGATTGGCAGCTATTGAAAAGGCTTATGCAGAGAGTGTGAGGGAGCTTACAAAGAGGGAAATGGAGATGGCACAGTCTGAATTCGCAAGAGCTAGGCATATGTGGCAAAGAGCAAGGGAGGAAGTGGAAAAAGCTGAAAGAATGAAGGAGAGAGCGACAAGGCAGATAGATTCTACGTGCATGGAGATAACTTGCCAGTCTTGCAGGCAAAGGTTTAGGCCTTAATTACTGCATTAATTATAATATGATCAAAACCCTGCTTGTTTAATTAAAGATAGCTGAGTTTTTTTCCATAGCCAAGTTGTTGTTTGGGGGTTTTGAAAATTTGGGCATTGGATTTATGCAACTTTTCCTTCAACAGAACAGAAGGAAATCAACAAATAACACAATATATAAAAGCAGCATGATCAGAACTCTATCTATGCAATGTCTATTTTTAGTTCATTGCGATCGATCCAATGCCTATCATGAATAATCAACCAATGGTAAATTGAAGTGAGGATATGATCAGCACATGTTTTCATGAAATTTGAGTTCCAATTCATTTTGTGTTTGTGTCGATGCTTCAGCCTAATTTAAGCATTAATAATGTTAATGTCAAGGAACAATCAATGATGAACTAGCTTGGCTTTCATGGATGATCAATTTGATAAACTATATACCATGGATCAAACAGGCAAACAGCAGACTAAGATATGTTCATGGTTCAAATTTTACCAGGAGAAAAAAGAGATCATGATAATGGCATGGATGCACAGCTAAAGATCTTGATCTCATCTTAAAGATCAAGAAGTTCTCAGATGAATTTAGATACTTTTGCTTTTACTGTCATGATGCATGCACAGTTAGAATCAATCAACGCAGTGAATTATTTTTTGTTTGGTGATACATTATTGTCCTAATTGCTAACACACTTTTTTTTTATCAGAAATTCAAACAAATGTCAGATACATGGATATGCATTTTAGCTTTTGAGAATGCATAAAGTGTTACTGATCAATAGCAGATTGGCAGGCATATCTTATCTGCTAATATTTTGAAAGATTGAATCATGTGTTTCACTGAGGAAGCTGAAAATCCTAAAACACAACATAAAAAACATATATATAGATCAAACTTTTGACTTCTGAAAGGATACATTTTATTTAGTTGATAACAAAAATTGTGCTAACCCATACAAAACTAGCCAATAGTGTCAAGCAATTTCAAATATGGTCTTCGGTCTTGATAATCAACAATCGGATTTTAACAGAGGTAAGAGTTCAAGGCAGGATCCGATCATCAGCAGCAAGAAGCACCAGGATTATGGAAGTTAAGGTAACAGTTTTTTCAATGAAAACTAAAACAGATAGTTAATTAGTCTCAGCTTAATTGCTGATACCTTGGGTATTAAGACAAGCACATAAGCTCTTGCATACTGTTGAAACTGATCAGGACTCAAAATTTTCCCTTAGTGTGTCAAATCTGCCACCTCTCAGAGTCAAGTTCAGAACCTTGATTTTGATAGAAAGGCAAATGAATCAGAACAAAAAGTAAGCAATTCACCAACAACAAGACAGAATAGCTGTATCCACTTGGATTCAACTTCTTAACTTTTGCTCATCATAAACCAAACACCCACTACCCATGTCTGGGATCCAACGCAAAAGAGACATTTTTGGATAGGATGACCATGATGAAGCATCAGTAGAGGAGTTAATAGTGAAGCTTTCAAGATGTTGTGACAATGGAATTAGCTTGATTTGTCAGCAACCTCCAAACCTTTCTCGTATACAAATTATCTGTTAAAGGTGTAGCTTCAATAATTAATGCACTGATTTGATTCTTTTTTGATGAGGTCAAGACTCAAAGAGTCTAGACATAATCTAGTGGGGCAAAGGGATCATGAACTTTCAAAATTAGGCCCTCATGAAAAGTACATTTTTCAAATAGATGGAAAATGATATGTGAAGAAAGAAAGTACCTATGATTAACTTAATTATTAGTTTAGTTCTTTATTTGGTTGCCCGAATCTTCTAAGACACAAACCCAATTCAGGATCTAAACACAGATATGCTTTTTTGCCATTAACCACTTGGGTGTTCTTGCTTCCAAAAGCAGCTATGATCAGAAATGAAACCTCAAAAGTGATTCTTTGGTTGTTTAAGGCTTGAAGTTTGAACAAGATCATACTTTTCCTCTTGGATACCTGTCTTTGGAACCAGCAGAATGCATTCTTCAGCAACTAAGAAACCAAGAACAGGCAAGAATTCGTTGGAACCAAGAACAACTGCAATTACGGACTTGTAAGGGAGAATAAATGGTGCATTGGCTACTTGGTTTGATTCCAGTAATGGAAATTCAGGGCCTTTGGACTAAGAACTCACACTCACAAGAAATGCTTCAATGGCTGTGTCCCAATTTGAGTTGCATAATCACCTAATAATCATATTGATGGTAGACCGTACACTGACAGATGACCACTTGCATTATAGATTCCTTGTCTTGTATTGCTTATTTGGTTACAATCATAGAATTGCAACAGCCATCAATTCTTCAATAAAGTTGAAGTGCAGGATAAAGATGTGGGACATGCCAAACCAAACAATCAAAGTTGTCATTATGACAAAACCTTAACATTTGTCTTTTCACATTTGTCCACATATTATGATGAAGTAATACTGTTTTTTTTTTTATTATTAAAGTTTGATGTAGAATCGTAGATATACACGGTTAATCATATCATAAGTCCAACCCTTATTAAGATGAATTATAGAGAATAATCATCCTTATCTCCTTACAGCAAAGATACGAAAACAGAACAGTTTCTCAGACCAGATTTTTCTTACTAAACCTGTTCTTGCTACCAAAAAACTACTAAGCTTTTCATCCAACTTCTCAGGGATAATGAAAAGCTATGTTACTTGGATTCGCGGTGAGTGTCAAATACGGTGTGTGTCTGATATGAATACGTGCAATTTTTTTATATATTTGGAAGGTTGAACTTCCATGTACACGTCTGTCAGGCATATCACCATCAAAGCCATGTCTATAAGCATTTTGTACGAGTTACATTGGCTACAGTGCTTTTCCTATTCCAAGTTAGATAAAATCAAAGTTGACCAAGTTCCTACAAGCTCTTTTTTTTCTTTGTTTTTTTTCCTTTTTATTTATCATAGGGCTTAGTATTGGTATTGAAAATTAAAAATCTTCAGCCTAGTGAAATCGTGCATCAGCTATTCAATTAAATGCTCGGATGCCAGAACAATCTTAGATATGTACAAGATTCTAAACTTTCTAGTAAAGTTATTTATTAGCCAATCTTGAGAAAAAAAAAAAAAAAGGCATCTTGCTTTTACAATTTAAAGAGTTTTAGTCTTTCAAAGATCATGGTGGGACTCAAAAATCAAAGTCGAAACATGTGCAAACGTGAATCCTTCACATCAAATTAGAAAAAAAAAATGGTTACCCCAGTCGGTTTGAAGTGATAAAAGAAAAAAGTTCATCTATCATAAAAGCTGAAGGAGATAAAGATATTGCAGACCTTCCTACAAAGTATCTCTGGGCTACATTGAGTTATCAAACAATGGACCTGCAGGGAAGACTCAAACTAATCATAACAAAGAAAAAATTCCCATGTCCCCCCAGCTGCTCATTATGACTTTAAAAACAAAAAAAATAAAAATAAAAAGGAAAATGCTCTATGAAAGTGGGAAATGGGAATTGTCAAGTTGTACTATTGTTAATAGAACACGATTAGTGCACTTTTTTTATAAGCGTATACAAATCTATATAACTTTTTCTTCTACAAATCTTTCATATTTTAAAGATTTTTTTTAATAATAGGATCAAAGTTATTTTCAAACTTTGCTTGAATTTTATTTTCTCTCCAAAACGCATTCTTTCAAAATTTAAAGGATTTTTCTTAGTTCCGTGCAAAAAAAAAAAAAAAAGGAAGAGCAATTATAAAAGTGAAAAAGAAACAAAGAGATCGGAATTTATTCCTTTGCTTGTGGGCTTTTAATCAAACTTTCTTCGGCCTTTTGCTTGCCAAAGTAGTAAGCTAACACTGGCGGTTCCTAGGCGGCAATAAGTTACACAGGCTAAACGGTGCGTTTTGACCAAGTAATTTTAAAAAAGGCAGTGCGTTTTAGAAATTGAAATTGAAATTGGGATTGGGATTGGGATCAATTGTTTTGCCGTACAACAATGAAGGATCGTTCAGAGAAACCAAATGCTAACCCTAAATCGAACTTGACGAACCAAAATTACAGCAATCCAAAGAAGGGGGACAAGAAGAAGAAGAGTGAATTTGAGTTCTGCAAGGTTTGTAAACTGAATCACAACCAAGGGCAACGTCATAAGTATTTCCCTAACCACAAAAACTGCCTCTCCGTTTTCCTCTCTCGATTCCAAAACAAGATCGACGACATTCGCTTCTTCTTGAAAAATCCTACCGCTCTTCGACCCGAACACGCTGATCGCAACCGATTTTGGTGCGTCTTCTGCGATACTGATGTCGACGAGCTCGATAGCTCTTTCGCTTGGTAAAGCTTTTAATTTGAAGCGGCTTTGAATTTTTTAATTTTAAATTTAAGTATGAAATTGATATGAGCATAGAATTTGTAAAGCTTGGCTCAAAATTTTTTTTCAAGTAATTTGGAATTTGCAGCCATTTAAGATTAGTTACTTATGTTATCTAAGGAAAATTGGAAATTGGAAATTAAAAGTTTGGATTTGAAGAGTGAAATTTAAGAGATTTAAAAAGATTGCTTTGCTTTGCCTTTCATATGACAGTAAGTTTTATACGTTTATACCTTTTTAGTGATGTGTTTTTGGTTCTTTGAACAGTGAAAATGCTATTAATCACTTGGCTGGCACGGATCACCTGAAGAATTTGAAACATTTTCTCTGGCAATATGGTGGTAAGATGGACTGTTTGGACATGTATAGGATATTGGAAACTGATCTGACAAAGGTATGACTATGACCATTTGATTGTTCAAAAGAAAGCTTGGAAGATTAATTGTGTGACAGAGTTCATTTTTGGTCATTGTAGTGGGAGAAGAAGTGTAAGTCATTGAAGATTGAAGCTATGGCTGCTCCTACTGAAGGGTCTTGTGGAGTTGTATATGGAGCTTCAAATGATATCCACAATAACATCAACTTTGAAAAAATAAATAACCTTGAACAAAATACTATTAACACTCTCAAATCAAGTTATTCAAATGTTGTTATGCCTTTACAGTACAATACGGATAAGTATCAGATATCTAATTCAAGATTCCCTGAAGGTGCAAATTTTGGTTCAAATTTGCATGAGGTTAACTTTTCTTTGCTTGTGGGTGAACGTACCAATACGAGTTTGTGGAACTCAAATGATTTGATAGGTATGCAAATCTGGTCATTTGATATTTTTCTCACTTAATCCTGTTCTAGTTATTTCACTGATATCTGAGTGAAGGTTTCTTATAAAAAAAATGAGTGTACTTATTAATTTTGTGCCATGTGCTCTGTGCCTGAATGGTCCAGCTAAATGCAGTAGCCAACAGAATCTTCTTTACAAGAATGGAATATGCCCCCCAGGGAATGCTTACCTCAGTAATGTTGGGGTAAGTTTTTTCTCCCACACTTTTTGACTATGTAGCTAATTCTATTTAATTATTTATGAGAAATTATCTTGTGACTGTTCTTAATATGCTGAAATTTGAAGCAATCCTTTAAAAATATTTGCGGATTTAGGATATAGTGTACAGTACCTGGCTCTGTTCCTAGAGTTGAATGCAGTGGCTTGACCTAAGGATCTTGGTCATCCTGTTTATTATGCTATTTTCCCTCAGGCTCGAGGACGCTGAGCATGTGAGTAGTTAACTCATGAGGTGCACGTATGAAAATCTTGACATTGATGGACACCTTGAAATTGCCTCCCATAGTTATTAAACTGCATGTGCTGGATTGGAGAGCTTGCTCTTTTGCCTTTGATTGAAGTTTCCCCTCTTTACACCCAGTTTTGCTATTTCGCTTGTGATCTTATTATTAAGATTCTTTCCTAGTTTCCATAATACTTTCAGATTTGCAGTTGGATTCTCAGGATTTTGGTTTGGAGATAAGTTGCATAGGTGACAATTGCTATTACCATTTTTTGCCATTGAACTGCTTTTTGGATACATGTTCAACTAGGGCAGATTCTGCCATCAACTCCCATAAAATTTACAGGGCTTGGCATGCATATTTTGTTTTAGAAAAATTGGTTTTCTGCATCATCTTGAAGCTTGAGGGGAATCCAAATTAATTACAAATTGTTATTCTTTTGTTATTTGAACGGAAGGGTTTAAGTAAGATATGAGATAGTTTTCTTAACTGTTTTGTCTTTTTAAAAAAAAAAAAATTTACTTAGTCCATGAATTTGTGATTATGTTATCACATTTCTGCTCCTTATTCATTTACAAGAGAATGACTTGCCTCAATTTGAAAAAACATGCATGTGTCTTATCCCTTGCGTATTCTAGTCTTTTGCTATGCCTATGCCTTTTCATTATTTTCCATTTGAATGCATGCTTCTGCATGCCAGGTCTTTACTGTTTAAAATTTTCAATGGGGCTAATTGTCTTTTGTCTTTGAACTTTGAATATAGTATTGTATTCCTGTTGTACTACAAGCTCATCATCTGGATACCTTCTCGTGATTTGCTTGTATGAAGTTTGGCTGTTTTCTGGGATTTCACAAAGTAGTTTCTTTGTACATGATATTATAGTTAAATTTTTCGTAAATATATATTCTCAAACAGGTGTGCCAAGTGTACCAGAGTGGAAGTGTGGCGAATGGAGAAAACAGTTCTCAGGGTAATGTTTTTAATTAAATTTTGGTTTCAATAATTCGATTTTCATTCCAAGTTGCTGTACAAAGTAAATAAACAGTATGCTAACAAAAATTGCTTATAGTTGTCTGGTTGCAAAGTGGAGGGATGCTGCCTAGAATGCTAACTTTTATTCATAATCTTATGACCATCTTTTTCTTCAGGTTTGCAGAGCTTAGCTCAAGTCACTTTGATGTCAACAGGAGATGCTGGAGGAAATGTGCACTCTGGAGCAGCTCCTCCTTGGCTTGAAACAGCTGATCAAACTTTGCTAAATGATAAAGTAAAACCAGCTTTAAGTAGCTTTATTTCGTCAAGTAAGTCACAGAAATTCCGTAAGTTGAACCCAAAAAGGGTGGGAGCTGCTTGGGCTGAAAAGCGAAAGATGGAGCTGGAGAAGGAGAAGAGAGGGGAGATTGTCAACAGTGGTTGTGATGCTAACTGGCTTCCTGATTTTGGTAGAGTTTGGCAGTCAGGTAGCAGGAAGGAATCTAGAAAAGAATTTGAGATTGAGAAACAGAAGTTCTTCAAGGTTGAAAGTCAGTCTGACATGCCAATTAAGATACAGCCTTACATCAGTAAACGAATGGTAAGCATCACATCCTTGTATGCCATGTCATTCTGAAGGCTAGTTTCTAAAGAGGTAGAAGTGCAATGATAAACATGTGCTCTATTCCATGCTCTCATTTAAGGCATCAGCTTGTATGATTGTCATCTGGGTAAAGTTAGGTGTCATTGTGTATAATAATGCAGAACTTATAATGGAAATTCAAAAGTCAGCCAAGCTGGTTTTTGAGTTATCTTTTCAGCAATAAAGGACCTGTTTGTAGAATTTCGTTAGTTTGCTTAGAAGTGCAACTATACAACTGCATCTTGAGTATATTGACTTTTAGTTTGAGTATTTGCTAGGAAGAAGCTTGCTGCTTCTTTAAAGGATAACAGATGTAACTATCTAGCTCTGGCATTAATGGCATTAACTTATAACTTTATACTGCATTATGTTGAAAGTAGGTTCTATGTTTATGCAATTTACCTTTTCCCCCCTTTTTGGCAGCGAAAAGATTCTGGTGAATGATGATTAATGATCATGCAGAGGAAAGACCATTCCAGTGAAGATGATGCTCAAAGAATCAAGTAGCATTCTTTTGTTTTTCCCCTCCCATGGTGAATCTAAAGACTCATAATGAAAAATTTTCAGGAAAGGGAAGAGTGAGCCATGGTGATTTCACCAATGATATTTAGCAACTGTTAAGATTCCCTAATGTATTTTCTCTGGATTCTCATACCATCTCTCAAAAGTTGTGTGCACTGTACAGCATAAGAAATAATTTTCTTTTGCCCCCTCTTGTCTCACAATATGTATGTATAGCTATGTTTCTGTTCTTTCTGTGGCAATCAGATGTGCAGTTTTAGGTTTTGAACAATGGATTTCTGAGCCGTGGCTCCCTGTTTATACATATAATTGGCAACCTTACAAGGGCCAGTTTGCCTTAATTTATTATGATACTTCAGGTCATACAAGATATTAAGAAAGAAGCTGTTAGTGCCAACAAAGTGCATCTATTGTTTCTAAATTCACACGCATATGAACAAAATATGCAACAAGGCTGTAACACTCTCCAATTCTGACGGACCGTGTGCATCTATTGTTCTTCATTTACATGCATGGCACATGAACAAAGTATCCAATTCCAGGTACTTGCACTCTCCCAATGCTGAAAATTAAAATATCTTGCCTGTTTGAGCCTGAATTCCACTCGTAACGATGTAGGGGATAATTATGTCTTTATATATGACATCCGACCTAATATATCCTGGATGCGGCACTCTGATTTTGGTGATATTTCTTTTTATAAAGTAAAATTCAATCGTATCTTATTCACAGATTTTAGGACGCCCGAACTGTAGCAATGGTGCCACTGATTGTTCTGTTGCTGCAGAAAAAGAAGGCTATTACTCTATCTGAATCGTCTTAGAAGAGCAAAACCTTGTAGCATTTGATTGATCGGAGATCCTGAAGTTCCAGAATTTTCCTTTAGCAGAAACCAAGTTCTCTTCGCACAGGAATTCCCTAGAAAACCATTTTTCAATTGTCCGATGAATGTCATGTACTACAACATCAGTCGTCTTCCCAGCTCTGGCTAACATGCTAGCAGTGTAGATAGTTGACATCCTGCCTGGTGCTTCTGGTGCGTCCCCAATTGGTCCGTCCACCACCACGACATCCCATTTAAGCTGATACACTTCTTGTGGTAAATTTCTCAATGCCAATTTGCAAGTTGTTTGTTGGAGCAGACTTGTACTAGGATCGCAAGCAGGATTTTCCCTGGCATGCTTGAGCAGCTTGTATGCCTTCTTAGCTGGTACCCGGTACTTGACCTTATAAATTCGAGTCCCATTAGAATCAGCTTTGATTTCACTTACCTTGTAAGGGTCATCCTCGAGAAAAAGAGTGATGCCTCCTGCATTTATTGATGAGAGGTTGAGGTATTGGGATTGAAGACCAAAAACAAGGAGGTTACAAGGTGCTTTACGGCTAATGAGATTTGAAAGAAGCATGAATTCCTTTGGGGTGAGAAGGGTTGCATTGGGGGAGGTTTTATGTGGACTGGTCTGTGCCCCTGGTGCATTTGACAGAACCTTACTGCATTCAGAAGGAGATGAACACTCCTGTTGGAGGGACGATGAAAAATCAGCGGCTGGAGATGAAGAATGTGAAGTAGTGATTGCAATTTTAAGAAGCCTGAGAATGGAAAGGCATGACAGGATGAAAACAAGCACCGGGAGTAGTTTCTTTCCTGGGAATTTCATCCTTCTAGTTGCTCTCCCAAATTTGGGGCTGGTACCTGAGGCTGTAGTACTAGAAAATTGAACCGAAGGAGTGATCTGAGGGGCACGGGAATGAGATACTTCAGGAGGCATTTTCGTCCTTGGCTTTTTTCCTTTTCCAGCACCTTACGGGCACTGCTAGTACATCCTCCTTACAGGGTAATTGTGGGTTTTTGATAACATGGGGTTGTTATTATGTTATCAATCTTCGTATCATCTTGAGTGAGGAAAAAGAAATGGTTTTTGCTTTTGTTTCAAGTGTTGAACTTTTCCTTTTTATCAGCTGTCAGCAAGATACCTAATTGCTGCGGTTGCCACGTTGAGTTTCAGCAATTAAAGCTAGTATCGGTATAAAAAAAAACAATCATTAAGGTTTGGTGTTTCCATCATTTTTCATAAACCGATTCAAGCATAGGCACGTTGAGGCATTGTTTGATTGGTTCGTCATTGTATTTTAACTGTTTTGAGCTTGTTTGGTGGCCATGAGTGGTGTTGAAGGAGGCTCCTCCAGTTTGTTGCTCCATCACTTTCAATCATTTTTTACTTTGTTATTTGGTACAACTGCATATGGCGGTTGCATGCGAAACTGTTCAGGTTTTCGGCTTATTGGAAACCTTGTTACCGAGGGCCCTGTCATGGTTTAGGTCCATGCTAAGGCTCATACAGAGTGAAGATTAGGAAAAAGAGACTTTGGGCACGCAACGCTGCAGCCCAGCTCTGGCTCATGCGTTGCAATTTGCAATCCATATGTTTCCAAGTCTCGACTAAGCTATGCAAATATGAACCCTTCAGTGACTTGCAGACACGGCTATTATCTGTTTGCCGGAGGATTGTGATATTTCAATGCAAGGTAAATCTATAGGGCAAAGGATAACAGGCTATTCTTCTGCAAATGCATCTTTCGGCTTAGGAACTTTGGGTAAGTTTTGAATGGATCCAATCATGTGTGGTCCAAACCCAAAAGCTGTTTGGTTCATAGGTATTTGCCCCACTTGAAGGTGAGATTACTCTGCAGATTTAAGGTCAAATCAAACCCAAAGTGTTACAGTCCCCTTGCACTAAAAGAACCCAAAAAAAAAAAAAAGAAAAATCATACTATTATGTAAAAGTAAAAGACTAAAAGTAACTCACATCTGAGGGTGGAAATAAAGAGAGGTGATTCCAAACTAGGATTCAGGGTTCATAGTTTATTACATGTAATTGGAGTATAATTAAAAGCTTTAGGACAAGTCCCGATCACTTGATGAGGCAATTTAAGCAAGGGACTTTTAGCAACTTTTAAGGGACGAAAAGTTGTTATAGTCGGCACTAAATTATGTTATTAATTCTTAATCAAATTTCATTTGGTTATTAAATCTGTTAATAAGTTGGTGCAGTGGTACTTTCAACCGTCAAATTTATCAAAATAAATCATAAAATAAAATGATGACAGTGAAAAAAATTTTCAAACGATTAAAATTTTATTTGGATGCAAAATGAGAGAGATTCTCAACTTATAAATAAATAAAAATCTTTTTATCACGCATTTAAAAGGATTTTAAAGATTTTTATGGTTGCTTATGCAATCTCTTCAAACTTGTCTAATTCTTCTCTTTAATATGTGTTCAAACTTGAACTTCATTAGCACTACTAATTGGTTTCTCAGAAATTTGCTTAAAATTTCTTTGACAGCTAAGTAATTTCATAACTGATTATCATAATCAACTTTGTTGCGGCTGTAAGTTGCCTAGGAAAAAAAAGTAAAAGAAAGAAGATTATCTAATTAAAAGTCATAAACATAGAATAATTGATTACCTCAAAAGAAAAAAAAAAAAAAAGAAAATTTGATGAATGATAGTGAGAGGGAGAGAGAAGCTTAACATTTCCCACTAATTACTCTATTTAATTATGCCAATTTGCACATAAATTAAGCTTTTATTATAGCTTTGTCTATTTGTAAGCTCTCATTCAAGGCATCTCTATAAAGAGCATAATTTCTTTTTTTTTTTTTTTTTTTTTTTTTTTTTTCTGCTGACTGCATAAACATTGTTTCTACCGAATTTAATGAAATGATTCTTTGTTCCTTTTCTAGTCTGAAACAAAATCAAGGAAATATCAAAATCACCCTGGAACAAATTTATGGGGTAAGGGCAAATTGAAGTGATGTTTGTGGTGCTAAGGTCAATTGGATGTTGAGGTCATAAATTGTTAGAATTTCATGTTCTACTTTGTGCCATAATTCCTCATTAATGTAGGAACTTGAATATGTTAAAATGAAACACTTCTAATTGAATTTGTTAAAGCAATTGGCTTCATTAATTATCTGGTCTTTGACATTTGCTTCAAAATATTGGCTAGGGTAACCCAAGTGCTAATGATAATACTCAAAATTCAAGGAATGGTTTCAGAATTTCAGGTATAGAACAATTTCTCCATTCCATGGATGTATTGTGTTCATTAAGCTTTCATGGTGACTGCTTCGTTTGCCAAGGAACTATCCATCAGAATAAAAAATTTACAGTCCAAGAAGCTCAACTCACCGCTTCACATTTCATCTCTAACAGGTCAACTTCAAGCCTGGTCTCCTCAGCCTCAAGATTCCTTTCCCACCAACTTTGTTAGAAAACCATTACCAAAAATGGTCACTATCCATTCAAGAATTTAAAATTCCCAAGTTGACATTTCCTCTATAATTCAATTCATTTATTTCGGAAAATCAGATGAGAAATTCAACTCCATTTCAATCCATCCCGAGGCTGGTTGATTAAGGCAAATACTCGAGCTAGAGTCCTAAACTTTGAGCCAGGGTTCTGGTTATCAAGCATTGCTGTTGTCATTGTCGGCATATCTTCATTCATCACAATTTCTTGTTACCCTAGATTTGGACTTGCAACTGCAGCAACAACAAATGTCCTAGTTTGGCTTGGTATTCTAGTCAAGCCAACTTTTCTTCATTTTTTTCCCCATATTTTCCCTCCTCACTCCGTATCTTCTTTCATTGATTGTTTTATTTCCTGAAATTCCCAGGTTTGTTCTACAACAAAAGTTTTGGTTCACACCTCTATATTCACTCCTGCTTTTTGTTGTGCGGTTCCTCAATCTCTTACAAGTGTTGTTTATTGGCCTGAAGACAAATCTTTGACTGCTGGAGAGTGGAGAAGAGACAAGTTACTATGGGTTGTAGCAACGAATACCAGTTTGTTTCACATGCGGGATCTAAGGTAAGTGGTTATGATTCAAGAAGTTTATCCTGCAAAGTTTCTACAGCAAAAGCTTCCATCCATGAATCTTATTGAAGTATTTGACAACAAGTTAGGACATAATGGAACCAAAATCACCTATACAAAGTAGCAGACCAAGCAGCATGGTTGTTAAGGTAAAGTCCCATGTTCATTCACCCTCCATTTTCTGTGTCTTACACAGTTACTGCAAATTTCTCAATCGAACTAAAATTTGATTGTTTCATCTGATATTTTGACAAAAACAGAAAGCGCATACTGTGATTCCAGCCCATATTGTAGCCGAGGCCATCTCAACGCTCCGTGGTCTTGATCTCAGATGGTCAGGTCCCATCACACCAACTGAAAGGGAATATGTTGAACAGTATGTCTTGGCAAAATATCCACAGTATGCAGGGCAAGTTGAAATAGAAACTACAGACCTCTCTTTTCTTTGTATCAATGAGGAATCCTCTGAGCCTGCACTTGATGATAAAAGAAAATCACTTAGAAGTAATTTTAAAGACTCCTCCACTCCTTCCTTTGGAACCAATCTTCCAGAGCTGGATAGGATTCAATTGGAACCATCGAGACTGCTCGATATCCTGACCAAGAAATCTTCCTTTCCTGGAAGTTTCATTTCAATTCCTGAAATTCAAGCTAGAAACAAAGTTTTGAAGCACTGTGGGTTACCAGATGATGACTATCTTGTTCTGTTTACTCCAAACTACAAGGATGCGATGATGCTAGTAGGAGAAAGTTACCCTTTTTTCCGAGGGAACTTCTACATGACCATCATTGGTGAAGAAATGGATTATGTACGAGAGTTTGCCAGTTACAAGGAAGCAAAAGTGATCCAGGCCCCTGAATCTTGGTTGGATCTGAGAATCAAGGGATCACAACTTAGCCAGTATTTTAGGAGGAAGTGTAAGCACAGCCCAAAGGGTTTGTTCTCTTATCCAGCTGATGTAAATGGAGTGCGTTACTCCATGCATTGGATTTCAGAAGCTCACAGGAATTCATGGCACGTTCTACTTGATGCAACTGCCTTAGTTGTTGGACAGGATCGATTGAACCTTGCGCTTCATCGGCCCGACTTTGTGCTTTGTAGTCTGGAGAATACACACGCTGATCAACCATCAAGGATAACTTGCCTTCTGGTCAGGAAGAAATCCTTTGAAACTACAACGTCTTCATCTCAGTCACTGAGTGAAAAGGGAAATTAGCTTATGTAAATACATTATATATATATATATATATATATATATATTTTACAACAATGACCTGAAGATAAGGGAAACTACTGTAGATGGTGAGATTTGGACCCCAAATCTACTAGATTTTGTGGACCAATTTAGCTAAATTCTGAGATTTGAATACATTATATGTTTAAATTAGTTAAGCAACATCTATATCAACATATTTCGGAATTAGGAAATTTCAAACAAATAAAAATGAGTAGGGTCAGGACTCTGGATGAACCTGTCAGTGATGCACTCCATGCATGAAATACATTTATACAAGTTTGATTAATCGCATGAAAGATCACAATTGTGGCAAATTTCTAAAGTTGTTTTCCAGGATTCTTAATCTCAGCTGGTTCCTTTCAAGCTGGGGTTTGATTTTCGGATATCATTTCAAGAAGCATTGGATAATACTACTACTCTTTAGTTTTATCTTTTCCGTGTAAATTTCTTGCACAGTATCGACCCATGCAATCGTTAAACATGCTCTTCAAGCCACCAATTTGAAAAATTGCAATGGTTAATTATTGCTCAATTAAAAAAGAATTTATATGCTTTTCCAGGTGGCAAATATTCCTGTCAAGTTTACTTGCTTCGGATTCAAGGAATCAATTCAATCGAACAGTTCGTCCTTTGCTACTCGGTTTCTGGGTTTCTGGGTTAGCTATTCGTTGCTTATACTTTCAAAATATCAAGACACGAAATCCCCAGGAAAGTGAAATAACCAGTCAAATAAGAATTGCAGATAAAAAAAATACAAATCAAGGTAAAATTAACCAGAATCTATTACAAAGAAATTACAAAAGAGTTCAGATTCAAGGCTACTAGTTCAACCTAATAATGCATTTAAAATGGGACGACTATGAACTGTATTGTAACATTCCTCTTTGATGAGAAGCTGCTGCAACCAATCAAATGGTCACATCCTCCAGCAATTTCTACAACCTTCAATTAAATTTCAAAACCAAATCAAATCTCTTTTCAGTTATAGAACAGGAATTTATAAAAACTTTCAATTGATGATCACCAAGAATGGTAAATGTTAAACAACTTAGAGCTAAAACAAACTTAAATAACAGTACACAGAGCAGATATACGGTCAATTTCAAAATTCAAACTGATGCTTGTATGTGCCAAAGGTTTTACTAAAACTTGAAAGAAAATATAGCTAAACTCTATCATTCATTTATCATTTAAATTCTGTTGAAAACAAGCAAATGCTGTAAGTATGCTATGAAACATTGATTGCTAATGATCCACTAATCTCGACATTTTGAGCCACAACAAGATGAAATAGACGGTCAATGCCTAATTATGCTAAAGCCTAAAACAGTAATTCTCATATCAAATTTTATAGCTATACATGAGGGCGGAAAATGAAAGCTATACAACGTAGAAACTAAAAGGGGCCCAGCAGTTTGCAGATTCAGCACAGCATCGCTAACCCAGATCATCAAAATATGAATTAAGATCCAACACAGAATAACTAGACTCCAGATCAACAAAAAACAAAAGATTGATGAGATAAAATATACTCTTCATACTCAAATCCAACCAAGACTCGGGCGAAAATGCTAGTTTGTGAGATGGAATGAAGCTGCTAGTTTTGGAAGCATATAGAATACAAAGACATGACATTTGCACGAACTCATCAAAGGGTGTCAATCAATAAGCCTACTACATCCATATCACATAAATCTAATGGGTTAGCTTTAAAAACCAATATATTGTTTGTAAACAGTCATGATTCCGGATAATGCAAATGCTTCAAAATTTTACCATTTTTCACAGATTGACTTTCATTTTTTCCCATAAACACAAGAAACAACTAGTAATTCAGTGTCATGATGCAAATGAAAAAGAACCATTTTTGAACTAAAACTTGCATGCAACAACAGTGATCCAAAGGCCAAGTATATCCATCATGCGCACGCAAAACCAGATAACATTAGCATCCAAAAGACCGAGTCAAGAAATCAAAACATCAAAAAAGATTGAATTGGAAAATTACCTAAGCGGAGCCAACGATAATGTTGTTAATAGGAATGAAGATCAGCTTAACGAAGAATCCAACGAATCCCATCACTACGAAACCGATCGCTGTACGGAACGCCACCTTCGTGAACTCTACATACAGAAAACAATCAGCATTTTCCAAAAAAAAAAAAAAAGATCCTCACAAAAAACCCTAAAAATTTCAACAGATCTAATTTAAAAGAAAAAAAGAAAAGGAAAAACACAAGGGAAAGATACCTTTCCGATCGGGCTTGTGGCAGCGCTTGACGAGACGGACGCTGTCCTTGGCGAAGTCTCTCAAAGGATCTACGACGGAGTCAAGGGCGTCCATTTCTCTCTCTCTCTCTCTCTCTCTCTCAACGAGAATCGAATGTCAAAAGAGAAGATTTTATAGGCGACGGTACAGAAGGAGCCGTAGTGTAAATGCAACTTCATAAAACGTGGGGTAGTTTTGTAAATTTGTTGGGTAGTGGATAGATAATTCATAGTCGTCTGAGGAGACTTTTCTGAATCAAATTTGGAAGCCAATTTTGGCTATTTTGAGACCAAATCATCCATAAATTGTAGGTGCCCATGGGCCGATGGCTGCCCACAATTTTGGGCCCCTTAGACAGCATTTTCTATATCTGGACCATTTTGGGCCCAGATTAAAGGCTCTTTTGACATGTTGGGCCGTAAACAAACTATGGCCTTACTATAACTACAATGTCACTCGGGGGATTTGGTCACGCTTTACCAACTAATCATGAACAAAGCTTACATTGGACCAAACTTCTGGTTGATGTTCTTAACTTGTTCCCTTCTGTTGCTCTCATCAATTATAAAGCTCAAGTGTTAATTTCTGTGTTTTAGGGTCTGAGCTTTGAGAGCAAACGGAGATATGGATCAGGGTTCTTTCACACAAGAATGAAAATACCAGAAAAAAATTCAGCAGGGGTTCTAACAGGGAGAAATGTTGTTCTTTGAACTTTTAGTAGATCAGGAAGGAGTTTCGGATGCGAAACCCACTAGTGATCGAAAAGCATATGAACACATGAGAACATAAGGGGATAATCAATCCAGAACTGCACACTAGATATGATTAGGCGAGTCATAGCAGCAAGAAATTGTTTCGCTACACTAAATGAGTAAAGGTCTTTGAGAAGTTTCTAAAGAACTCCATATTTAAAGTAGCTTTCATAAACAATAGCAGATAGGTGCATTCATAAATCATATGCAAGCAAAATTCCTAGTAGATCACCGGAGCTCCATACATTTGCCACACCACTGAGCACCATATTGGACCAATGAATTGCTTAGCTGCAGAATACAACAAAACAACATTAGACATTGGCTGCTAAGAAACCATGATCAATGAACATCTCATAATGCAAAAGAAAAAGAATGATCTAATAAAGCAATCCTCTTTCTTTCAATAGACAACACGGCAATTGATGATAAAAAAAGAAACATAACATAAAATAACTTACAACAACACTAGAGCAGAGAAATGTACTTTCGAAAACCTGGACGGCAATTTTGGATACATATAAAGAAAACATCCCTCCAAAAACAGCTTACACACTAGCAAAATCCACTTAACTATCAGAGGTTGATAATAATAATAATAATAATAATAATAATATATTGACATTTTGCAATTGTATCATAACTATTCAACTTCCCCTGCCCTAGTTTTGCTCTTCAAAGACATCACCCAATTTTACACAGAAATGAAAAAAAAAACCACAGCCAATTAAAGGTTAATGCCCCATTGCACGATATTCAATATTGGCCATAATTCAACAAGAAATGTCCCAACCATCTTGTTCGAAGTAAACTCTCCTCATTTTGTTCTCAAAATTTCTTACGTGCCAACCATTCCCTTTAGTGATGTAAGTAACATGATTTCTCATTCTACACAAGCTCTCCTTGTTCTTTTCTCAAGCTTTCCTAGATATTAAATAAAATAAAAATCATGTTTCATCTTACACAACTAACTAAAGTATCTACAGATAGATGCTTGCTCAAGTTACTCGTAGAATCCATGTGCTACTGTGAAATATCAGGGATATCATCACTACCATCACTGCTAGCATCATATCATTTATTTAAAGCTAAGTTCGTCTTGATCCAAAGAGAAAAGGCGAAAAAAATTGCAATTTAACTTGTAAGCAACTTCAATCCAGCAAATGGGATTTTATATCATAACCATCAAACAAAATCCATTGATGTTATTAACCAGTCCTTGGAGAAGGAAACACAATGCCTGAGCAAAGACATATAAAAAATATACACCAGCCATAAAATTTTTCCCTACAAGACCTCAATGATTATGTTCAAGTAGACTACAAAGAAGCAGATGATTTAACCAAAGTCAAAGAATTGGGAATACTTAGTTATCAGAACCCAAACAAGTTAAACATCACTCTAGCAAATGTTCCTTATCCTAGAAAATACGAAGAAATTAAGCAAAAAAAAAAAAAAAAAAGAACTTTGGATGGAATCAATAATTGAAAGAGCAAAAAACTGAAACTTTAATAAAAAGAAATGGCCACGAAGTGAAAATGATCAAAGAAAACAAAGCATTCCACGTACCCTTGTCCGTCAAGATTCCCCTGACCTCTGTTACCTCCACTGCCAAACGACCCATCCTCAGCCCCAGCCGTCTGCCAAACACTCTGCCAAGCCTGGGAAGGAGGCTGGGCAAAAATACCAGCCGTGGGGTCGACGGCCGGCCTCCCAATCATCATCCCACCAGGACCCCCAGCAGGCTGACCCATGGGAGGATAAAAGTAGGGCACCCCACCAGCGGTGGCCCCCACCATCCCACCCAAACCAGCCTCGTCCTTGATCTCATCCCTGGGCACAATATCCACCAAGAAATCGAAAATGTCGGTCCTCGTAATCGCCGCAGCGATGTCGTTTTTCTGAAGCGTCCGTCGCTTGTTCTCCTCGGCGTGAAGCCAAGAGCGGATGGTGAGTTCCAAAATGAAAAGCTCACAAGCTTTGGCGAAGAGAATGGGAGCCTCAGCGGAGATCATGCGGACGTCTTCATCCGCTTTCATGATCTTCTTGATGCGGGCCAGAGGGAGTTGGTGGTTCTTGAAGTCGTTGACTTGCTCAATTTCTTGGCGTTGGTAATTCCAGAACATATGGAGTTGCTCATGCTGCTGTTGGAGGAGGTGGTGGAAAGGAGGCGGAGGAGGAGGAGTGGCGGTGGTGGTGGTGGAGGAAGGAGAAGGGGTAATAGCAGAAGTGGGATGCTGAGGTGGGTAAGATGACTGACCTTGCTGGTTGCTGTCCATTGGAGGAAGACCAAAGAGAGATTTTGGGGCAAATGAGTTAAAATCACAAGTTTTGAATTTTTTTTTTCTTCTTTTTGGGGGTTGGATTGGGTGCGTTTGGGTTTGATCAGAGGGTGGAAGATAGGGATGGTGGTGGTTGATACCTTAAGGGCCAGATATGGATGTGACAAGTTACAGGCATTGCAGCTGATTCTTTTTGTGTCTTTTCCTCCTTTTTTCACAGCTTTTTTTATTAGCAAAAATTTTAAAAAAAAGGGCTTTTATTTCTTTATATAAATAAACGTGATTTAATAAATTAAATATTTGAATGTAATTTAATGATCAATTATATTTGTTTTTTTAATTTATTTTTTCACCTTAATTTGTCAATGGTTTTGTCTTTGTAACTTAATCTTTTGTTTGAACACAAATTTTTACATGGATTTATACGTTTTTCCTGGTAATAATATTTTTTTATAAAGTTATTGATAAAAAAATTCAAATATAATCAAATATTATATTTTATATAAAAAAATAATGAATTTCATCATATAAATAAATGAACCAATAAACCTACATAATTAAATAAATTCAATAAAAAATTAAATTAAATACAATTAAAAAAAAACTTTTGAAATTAAACTTAATTTTCATAAAAAGTGGAGAACTTAAAAAAAAAAAAAAAAGGAAAGCAAAGGATCTAACTTTCCTTATACTATAACTTAATTATTAATGAATTAATAATAAAATTATTCAAGTTGCAATTTTTTAATTTTTAATATACGCTTTATTCTTTAATTTTTATCTACTAATTAATTCGTATGAAAATTATATTATACGTTTAAATTTTTTTAAATTTATAAATCTAAAAAAATTTATTCAATATGCCCGATTGACCATTACAATTTATTTATTTAATAAACTTTTACTTTAAGACTCATTTTGGATGATCACCAAATGATAGAGCTATGGTCATAGATTAAATAAAAATCAAATCTTTTTAGTCAAATAAAGGATGTGGTATCAATGGCCCTTGGCAAAAGAAAGGTTTTTAGAGGTGGGGAAAAAAAAGGATCTTTATTACTTTCATATATTGTATTTAAAATTAGTGAATCTTTTTAGCTTTTGGCAAAACCTAAAGGGCATTTGCATTATAGGAAACAAAAATGGAGGGCACATTTCAATTTTAGGTTAAATATTCCTATTATTGAGGCATAATCTTCTAGTTCTTGATCTAAAGTCTAGCAAGTTGAAGTCTCAACTTAAAAAAAAAAAAAATTTATTCCATCAAAGTTTAAACTCAATTCAACTCTCATTATTTTTTTTATTTTTATTTTGAAAGATTTAATAAAATGATTAGTCCGCATCAATATATTTTTTTATTTAAATAATATCACATAATCTAATTTTTAATAAAAAAATTATTTTAGCAATAAATATCTATATTAATCAACACATAGTAATATATTGTCAAGTCCACTTAAAAGTGAACAAAATAGAATTTTCTTTTATTTTTTAAAAAGAAAAGTGAAATTCAAAACGTGTGTTTTCCACAAGCTTGAAATATATTCTTGGTCAAAGAGAAGAGGTTAGAAATATATAAAATTGGTGGAAGAATATGTCCCTTGCATATGCTTTTTTAATTTGGGTCCCTTTGGTCAATTATAATTCAATATTTAAAATGTAAAAAATGCCTTTAGGATTGTATTTGTTTCTATAAACTATAAAGTAGTGCGAGTGGTAAATTACCAACCGAGTGTCATTATTCTCAAACATTTTGTCAAAAAGTTTACATTCTTCACGCTTCTTAATTTAGAATTCGTCAAAAGCTTCATGCTCTATGATGAACTGTTGAATCACCTGTTGTTATTTGAAGTTTAATTAAGTGCTATCAATTACGTAATAGCTTTCTAAAAGTAACCTTTTGCAACTTTTCTTGCCTTACGCAACATATCCGGTCACATGGATAAGGACCAACAAACTGCAAGGCGATGGTAGAGAAAAATGATTTATGGTGGCTTGGCTACTCCTTGAGACTCAAGTGCTGGACTTTCCGTAGAGTTGGGCATACACATTTCTAGTCCGATAAACAACGATCAAGCTCAACACCATTGCGACTAGACAAAACCCTGACATCAATAAGCAAGTGAGAGAGTAGCATATGGAACCCTCACAAGTTAGTGAATCATCATCCCGAAGAGGAATAGTGAGCAGAGATCCTGAAATGGCCTGTCGGAGGCTAGCTTGTTTCTCTGCGTAATAGTCATATATGCCACTGGCAATGACACCGGAAAATATTAGAGAACCAGCAGGACTTGCCAGTCCGAAAAAATTATACAAGGCACCAAAAGACTTCAATCCAAATAGCTCAGAGGCTGAGGCTGGCACAATAGCCCAGTTCGCACCATATCCAAGTCCTGTTAACACAGTTGTAACATAAATTTGCCCAGGCCCGCCAAGAGCATAATAGAGGAGTCCAAATGCCATTATGACCTGAACCACAGCCATGGCCACTGGTCTGGGGAAAGCATATTTCCTGGTAAAAGACAAAACGTGAAGCAAGGATTAACAAAAATTTACCTGTATCAGCGGAAGGAATTTGTTTTCACCTGATAATAGTCTCAGAAAAGTATCCACCAGCAACACGACCAAGAAAGTTAAAAATGCTGGCCACTGATACGAATATACTGGTATTGCTATAGCCCAAAGACCGGCAAATTTGACCCAGGTTATCGATAACTGTCAAACCAGATCCAGCAGCCAATAAAAGGGAAACAAACATTAGCCAAAAATCTGCTTTTATCAGTGCTTGTTGTAAGGTGAAATCTTCTCCTCTACGTGGCCCTCTTTTCCGCTTGACCCTCACTGCTCCATCTGCAGCGGCTTGGAACAGTTTTGCTTGCAACTGTGCAATTCGTTTTTGTCTTTCTGATGCTGGAAGAGAGTCAACTTCTGGAGGCTTCTCATCTTCAACCTCACTCAGAATGATCTCATTTACATCCTGCGCAGACCCACCTGCTTCCTGTTTCTCTGGCTTGGGGAGTAGATTCTCCTCTACTGGAGCGCTTGGTTCCGAAGCAAAAACCAATAAAATGGGAATTATAACTGGAAACAATATAAGAATGATTAAAAGCACTCCAAGCAATGTGACCAGAGTTTGATTTATGCCAACCACATCCTCGAGCACCAATACTCCCAACAAATAAGCTGCCAGAATAAAGCAAACGCTATACGTTAAAAGGAAGCTTGAACCATCAGAAGGCCTAACTTGGTTGTGTCCCCCTATAGGTCTAATAATGAACATCAAAGCTATAACAACTATCGATGGCCCAACGGCAACCATGAAGATTAGTGCTGCTTCATTAGGGAAATTAATCATTGCGTAAACTTGGGTCAAGATTGCACCACTTAAGCCTGCAAATCCTTTAAGTATCCCTACAACAGGACCCCGGTTTCTGGGAAAGTTCTGCACGCATGAAACTAGAGCAGCTGTGTTGTAGTATGTCTCACCATTTGTTCCCACAAATATAGCGAGACACATCTGCATAGCAAAACTTGATTAACATTTTCAACTTGGAAACAGCCAAAGAAGGACTATGAAAAAAAGATGTATTTCCTCAGTTAGATATTTATGTCAGAACGAATAGAGAACCAGATTCAGTTTAACAATTATAATCCCAGAGTAGGGTGCTTGACTATACATAAGAACAACTCTTGGATGAGCTACTCATTTATACCTAACTTTCCCAAATACAAGCCTGCAAACTAGAAAGATTTAGCCTCAGTTGATAACCTTATAGGCATTTTAATCATTCTTGAGTTTGTATGCAGAAAATTAGAAAATAATTACAAGAACTCATCAAGAAATAAGCCGATTCATTTTCAAAAGTCTTTTTCTCAATATGGTTTTAAAAACCCATGATTCATGAGTCCATTCTGATAATCACATACCTAATTTGCTATCCGTTTGTTGAAGAATTTAACATAAAAAGTAAATCAAGGATTAACAAGTTTTCTGAAATTTCTGGGGCTTTGTGGACTGGAACCTAGTTTAGTGATCCTTCTGTCAATTACAGTACCCCATCAATCTAGAGATAATATGTTGATTCAAGGGGAGAAAGTTGTAGAATTAACCAAATCACTGTTTAAAGCTATAAGCTCAATTACCAAGCTTAATGTTCTTAATTAATCAAACAATCAAATTTGATACAAAACCACACATGTTCCAGCCTAAACCACAAAGGCCACCTTCTTGCCAGGAACTAGATTATCATCACCATTAACATGAAATTAAGACAGATATCAATTGATTTTCTTATCCCAGAAGAGAAACCAAATATTCTTAAAACCCAGAAAAATGAATCCAAAAGTGCCTCTTAACCAAAGAGAGAAAGTCAAACTTGTTTCCCAGGACGGTGCAAAGAACCAAAGTTTTTCATTAACAATACAAAGACAAAAGTGAAAAGTGAATAAAACTCACCACCCAGAGGGGCAAATCAGGCAGTATATTAGCGACAGCAAGCCCAACCAGACCATAGCCAACAAAATTTTGGACCACACCAATGAGCAAAATGACCCAAATAGGCAAGGTCTCACACAAACTCCCAGCTACAAAACCAATACTATCACCCAAGTCTTTAGCCACACCCAAGATAGCTATCTGCCTCTGGTTGTAACCCATGGCAGTTTTTATCACAGGTGAAATGCTTCCAAACAAGTAACCAACTCCAGCACACGACTGAACCCACATGGCGCACACAAAAACCAGCCATCTGTTGTTGACAAAGGCCTTGAGCTTTTCAGGTAACTGTTCCATAATCTCTCCCTCTCAGCAGCAAAGCATAAGGACTGAATTCCCAAAGAGAGTTTTGAATGGGATTGATGATGGAGCCTTTGTTTGGACAAAGTTTGTTCCCTGTTAATGTGTTAGTGAATGGTTTGCCACTTCTTTTTAACGAACTTTGCAGACTAGAATCATGAAACAGGACAGGATCTGATCCCAACGGTCTTAATTATAACTATGCTCTCTTTCTTTGAAGTTCTCGTATCATATAGCCTATCAGTTTGCTTCACCGACTCTCTCTTTCTTGTTATTTAATTAATTTATTTTTCTTGTGAATTAGCATTGGGAAAAGATAAACAGATGGGATAAACATTAATCAAAATTGGTTTTTAGTTAGATGAGCATAGAAACGTAGATAAAAAGTATTGTCGAAATACATTTTTATTCATAGTAAAATGTTGTATTATTAATTTTAATAATTATGATTTAAATTTTAATGGTTTTAAATATAAAAAAAATAAATTTTAGGGTTTATTATTTTTCTCTTCTTTTAATTTTAATTTTATTTTTTGGAAATTATTTTGAGATTGAGATTTCATTTATAGCATAAAAATGATCTGCATGTTCTAAAATCTAACCCTTTATAGAAAAAGAAGAAAAGAAAAAAAATCTGAATGAATAATATGATTGATTTTACATGAAAAATCCCCAATGAAATAATGCTTGTTAGTATCAACATAACTAAGTAGGGTATCAAATCTGTCAATAACATAAAACATGCTGTTTCCTATTTATATTCAATTAATATTTCTTTACCCTTATTTTCTTTATTTTATTTGTCCCTTCTAATGATTTGCATGATAAAAGTCGCATACTTTTTTTGAACGTAAATATGATAAAAATTTATTTAATTTGTTCAGATACAAATTCCAACTAAGATGATTTGATAAGAAAATTAAGTTAATTTTAAAATATCCAAACTATGACTGTCAAACCCAAAAAAGTCTTGAATCCTAACCCAGGCCAGCACGAAATTTGATCTCAACCCAAAACCACCCTGTCCAGTCACAATCTCACCTTCCCCATTTGACACTTCTAGTTTGAAGAGGCTATGAATTATCAATGGCATTTTACTCGCGTGAGTTGACATCAGACCGAGGAAAATGATCTGGGTTTTATTTTTCCTGAAAAAATACTGTTAACTCTTCATTTTTATTCTTAAAAAATCCTACTAAAATACTATACTTAGTAGCAATTATATTTACATTTTCGATTACTTTTCTACAATGTAAGTTCTTATATTAATAGCTCTTTTGATGTACCATTCACCAATGTTCTGGGGCAAGCATGGGAGAGATCATCGATTAATACTACCAGTAGTCGAGCACTGTCATAATTGCCAGGACCTCATTGAAATGAAGCTCTGATGCCCAGATTTTGTTTGGGATTGGGTACTCACCAAGGAAAATGATAAGAATCAAAAGTGGTTCTAACTTCCAAATACCTGGTTGGCTAGTAAGTGAAGAAACCAATGTATCAAAGAGATTTTGGGAATCTGTTAGGCCAACAACACCGTGAAGTAATGTACAAGCGAATCATTTCCCAATTTTTTCAAATTTTCTTTTCTTGCAATGCCTCGTCCTTCAAGCTAGCTAGGTAAGCCTGCACCACATATGGAGAGACTGATTATTCAAACATGCTACTAATATTTTAATAAACGACTTGTTCATGGAGTTTTTTGGTGTTCGAGTCTGTTAGGTGTTGAGCTCCGATCATGTACGTCAGCTACTTTGAAGGCTTGCATTTATATTAGTTTGCCAATTATTTCAGAAGTCATGAAAATAAAATAAAAAAAAGAAAATAAATAAATAAACAAAACAAAACACAGATGAGTCGTCAATGAATTTGCAGTTTTCACCTTCTCTGACTGATGAAACTGCAAATTCTATCCATGAGAATGCAATAAAGTTACAAAATTCAAACTTGCACGGTTATTCTAAAACATGATTTTCACGATATTGTTAATCTTGCACCTTCAATTATCATTTCCAATATCCCCAAATGGCATTTCCAATTTATGGTAATGAAAAAGGAATTAAAGTACTGGATTGGTGAGGAAAAATGATATAGCCAATAGCCTATTCCATGGAATCAAAACTTGGAGCATACCAGCCTAATTGGTCAATGATCTTCTTCAACCTCTCTTCCTGTCCCTTGGAGTCACCAATTGCTGTTGTGAAAGGGTACACATAGGTGACTTTCATGGCCATTGACCTATAAGTAACAACATCCCCCTTCACTAAAAACTCCAGCACATCCCGGCCAAACCCTCCATCTACCTCAGCTTGTAAATATTTTCCTGATTTGTTTCAGTTATCAGCAAATCTCATAAACTATAAACAAAGATGTAAACATTTAAGGCCTAAGTTCATTCTTAATTTGGTTATTTTCATATAAATTAACTAGAAACTCTATAATTTCCAATTTAACTTCATGCATATTGGACATCCATTCCACTTCAAATGCCAATTTCTAACACCATATTTGCTGTATGCATTTTGGTCTACTTACCATTTGGGGTATCTTCAACAACCTCAATCTTGGCATTCTTCTGAGTTTTCAGGATTGCTTCTTGCAGTTGCTGCAATGAAGCAAGCTCAAACCATAGTCAACAATCAACATGAAATCAATTTTCACATTACTAATTGCATATTCAGAAAAAAAAAAAGAAGGCATATATAAAATCATGAATTTCTCAAACCTGAACTGCATTCTCTGTAGAATTCTCAGGAATAATCCAAGGGAAAGCAAAAGATGATGATTTTGCATTTGTTGACACACAACCTGGATTTATGGATGGGCAAGGCCTAATTTTCCTGCAAAGGTTAAAGCATTTCCATCCAACTTACACAGCGTCATAACCATTAATAAACAACTAAAAACTGAACAATTTACACCAATTAAAATGATTAAAAAGGGTTTTAAGACAGACCCATTTTCCAGTCCAAGCTCCAAGAACTTGGACTGAGTAAAAGGGGTGGTGGGGGGAAGTTGTGGGGAAGACTGAGAGTTAAGAGAAGGAATGGCAAACGAGGGTGATGGGGAGTTTAAGGTTAAAGTGAGAGCTAAAGAGAGTATGTTAGAGAAGAGAATGGGTTTTGGGTTAGGATTCTTTGCGATTTGTTGCAGTTGAGAGAATGTTGCAGAGGTTGTTGTTTGTTTGGAAGGGGAAGGAAGTGGAGGGAGGAGCTGACCAATCAGACTAACGGCCATGGTTGTTACTTTCTCTTATCCCTTAATTCTCAGTACCTCTGCTCACATCTCCAAGCCTCTATCCGGCTCTGTTTCTCTGATTCCATGTTAAAACGCACCGTTTACAGCTTGGGAAATGAAAATGAACACGTGCTTTAGAAGCGTAAAGCTAAATTTTCATTAAGTCATCTTGGTCAAGTATTTTGAGGTTGTATGACACGCAAGAAAGTCGATATGTCCGAGTGGTTAAGGAGACAGACTTGAAATCTGTTGGGCATCGCCCGCGCAGGTTCGAACCCTGCTGTCGACGTCTTTATTTCTTTTGTTTACTTTATTTATTCTTTTGTGTTTCCTTTTTATATTTCCCAATAGTTAGGGCTCAACCTGATTTGTTTTCTTACATTGCAGGGATTTGAGAAAGCTTGAAATCCTACGACTGGAATTTTCTCGGCTACCAAACAGAAAAGGGATAGTAGAGTAAGACAACAAAAACCCTTGTTGAAAAAATGGAAGAAAATTCCCTAGCAAACGTAACAACACCAACAAACAGCAGCAACAAAACGACGCAGGAGCTAGCAGCAGAAGGCCTAAAACATCTAGAAGAAACCATCGAAGCAGCTTTCCAGATCCTCTCTTCCATGAACGACGAGCTTTGCAACCCTGCCTTGTGGTCCACCACTCTTTCTTCCACCAATCCTACTATCGCTTCTTCTGCTACTACTAACACTGCTGCGCCTAACGGTCCTTCTTCTCTCTCCAACGGCACTGGTTTAGGCAACGGTGATTCGTCATCCGATGGAGGCCATCACTTGGAGATGGGTGGAATTGGAGGTAGCGGCAATAGTGCTCTCGATGAGGCTCGCTTGAGGTATAAGAACTCCGTCGCTTCTCTTCGCGCTGTGCTCGCTGCCATTCCCAATTCTCAAAAGGTATTGGAACAAAAGTTAGGATTTTTACTGCTCAAGTTAGGAACTTTTTTAGGAATTTACTTAGAGCCTGATTTCATGATTTAAAATTAGTCAGTCTTTCAGCTTGTCGATTAGGAATTATAAGTTTGTTAAAAAAAATTTTACATTTGTGCTGCTTTAATTTGAATTGGCGTCATGGAACAAATTTTAATATATTTATTGCTACATTTTTGTAATTTAGTATAATTATTATTTTTAGGGTTTATGGTTGTAGAGTTTAGGACCGTTCCTATGAATTTTGAATGTGTTTCTGTTAGCTCATTGATTCTGGGTTTTTTTTTTTTAATCTTTAAATAGGCAAAAGCATTTGAAACAGGTTCAACTGCGAGTAGTCCTGCAGATGAAGCAGATATTGAGAAGTTGGAAGAGCAAGCCTCTAATCTCAGAAAGGTATTTTGCAGTGACATGGTCATAATTTTATATTCTTAAGGTTAAGCATTTCATATTCATTTGAACAGTTGTGGTAATGCCATCCACTCTCTAAGGTGGCAGCATTTGGGTTGTTATGGTGTATTTTCCTATGGTTGTTTTCACTCTTGAAGTAATGTTGTGAATATCACGCGTTAAAACCGGGACATAAAATGGCCATATTTAAGTCCCTAGGTATGCAAAGCCTAATTCATGTAAGATACTCAAATTTATCTTATTAAAAACTCAGTCAAGAAATTGCATAAATGAAATCTAATACAACCACACTCAAAGTCTCGAACAAAATCAAATCAAAGCAAATCTCAATCTCGCAATCTTACATCACATAGAATTAAAATAATTAATTATTGTTTATCGGAACATAATAAACTTCCAATTCCAGTCTTCTAGCACCAACAATTCTAATTGAAGTTACCCTATTTCTAATAATTAAAGATTATGCAAGCAGTAGCAATTAAAGTAAAGATTTACATAAAAGGTGTGAGCTTATAGTTGCTAAGCTGTAGTTTGTTTATTTCCTTTTTTACATTTTCTTTACTAATGATTAAGTAATAAGTTTGCTTAGAATTGTGGGAGTTAGAAGATCTGAATTGGAAGTTCATTATGTTATAATAATCAATCAATAGTTATTTCAGATTTTATGAGATGTAACAGTTTTGGAGCATTTACAAGGTTTGGTTTGATTCCTAGGGACCTAAGATTTGATTGTATTGGTTTTCTTATATGAATTTCAATTTTAACGAATTTGTAATGAGTCAAATTTGAGAATTTTTATATGGATTAAGAAACAAGTCTTCATATTTCTTTGGGGTTTTACTTTAAGGTAATATAGTCATGTTATGTCTCGGTTTTAGACTTCAAAGTTAATGTGATATAATCCGGTTCAGTAGGCGTAGAAATTTGTGATGGTTTAGTGCTTTCTTGGAAGCATTAGACAGCCATATTATATCTCGGTTTTGGGGCTTGACAGTTAATGTAATTTTATCCAGTTCAGTAGGTGTAGAAATTTGTTATGGTTTAATGCTTTCTTAGAAGTGTTAACGATGAGGAGCCTTTAGCTGATCATTTTCTTTCTTATGCTGTTTAATTTTATATCTTAATCCACAAAGCACTGTTTAATGTCTGTAAAAATGAAAGGACTCTTGTGGTTTTGTTTCTAGGACCTTGCAAACAAGAATGAATATCTCAAGCGTCTAATAGATGAACTACGGGAGCTTATTACAGACATATCTACTTGGCAAAGTCCATGTTCCATCTAATTTTTGGATGAGCATCCGAGCCTGTTGCATGAAAAGGGTGCCCTAGAAGGGGAACATAAATCCAGATCACTGCATTAAATGATGATGCTACTGTGTTCATGTCAGTCATTCTATCTAATGTCAGTATTAATTCTATCTAGATCTCCGTCATTGACATTGATCGGCACTTTGATTTTGAGCTATTGGAATTTGCAAGGCGGAAAAATGGTATTGCCAAAAGGAAAAAACAAAAAAAAGAGCCTTTAAATTTTTTTGTACCTTATTATATTTATCACGGACAAGTGTAGTTTGAAGCAAACATCGAGTACATAGTAGCTTGATTCATTGTACTATCATTTGATTCAAATATGATTGGCTACTTATGGGCGATTTTGTACTTGCATCAGGGTTTGAGCTCACTCTGGCTGTATCTCAAGCATTAATGTGCTCTTTTTATTGAAATGGTTTACCTTAATGAAAATTACCTGTGAGATATCGAATGGCTTTTCTTAATAACCATGTGGTGTAAAGTTTTGCACCAATTGCATTACTCGCAACTCACAAGGGGTAATGCCCTTAAATCGTTATGCGTTATAAACCGTATATAATTCATATTTATCTTTGGGGGGAATATAAACTTCCTCGGTGGTGGCCATGAGTTTTGATTTTTGAAGCAGGATCGAAGGAGTTTAACTTTTAGCATCCTTGTCTGCCTACCAGCTACCACACAAGCAAACCTAAAATGTAAGAATACCAAGAGGCTAGGAGCCGTCTTCAACTATCACAATTCACAACCCTCGTGTCCAAATGCTGACCAAACATGTGCAAAATCTAGTGCAGGGATAAAAGCCTGGCGGTGGTCATACATCAACAAGTTTAACTGGTTGTGATCTGTGAAGCCTGGAAAGATTGTACTCTAAATCTACCTGACGAAGTTCTACAAAGAGTTTCACCTCTAGAAATTTTAGTCCTGAAGCTGTTATTTACATCATTCTGAGATATGATTAGATGTTTATGATTTAAAGACAGTTCTTGCACAAAAGTACTTCTAGTTTTATCGCAATTTAATGAGAAAATACATTTCTAAAACCTGTAAGATATAGAGGTTGATAGATAACATATGGAAGGGAAGAAGGTTCAACTAGTTGTGGATTGAAGATCTAGTTGTAAGCGACGATCTCATATCTACAATGGCAGATTCATCTGCTCCCATCTTGATGGCCTCTTTGCTTGCTCTTATAAACCGTGAAACTGCTCCTTTCACATACTCGTGAGCTTCTTTCACGCGCATCTTCTTGCCCATCTCATCAGGGAAGCTACTTAAGAAGTGGTCACCATTAAGAACAGCTGCTAGTTGAACTACCTCACCCTGAAATTCAGAGAGACCGGCATCTTCTTTCGCTTCTGTTGTCCTTAAAGGAGCTACATCAGGCAATGTCTCTGCAATAAATTCAAAGAAACAAATTAATAAATTTCTTTGCCGTTCCTCATGCATGCATGGAAAACTTTGTGTGGAAGATCCTAAATTTGCCACAAACCAATTGTGTGGAACGGAAAAATACCTGGGCAATCAGTTCTGGGAGAGGACAACTCCCCAACAACCTCCTCGAAAGTGCCAGCCCAAGCATCTCTGTGAGTCAAGAAGTTGGAGGACAGGTTGAACATTTTTTTTATTGTTGCAGGGATGGATGAATGCTCGAACTCAGAGTTTGGAGTAGGTCCCTTTGGACCACTTATCACTACAAGAAACAGCAGAAATTCAAGCATAGAACATTCATGAGTGGATTAATAATATTCTAATGTAAAACCACTAGAAAAAAGTGCGTCTAAAGACATCAATATTATTATAACTAATCGGTGGCAATTGAAAATTAGAGCCAATTGTACAACCATAACCACTTGCCTAAACAAATTCCAATCAACTTAAGTGCTATAGCAGAACATAGATGAGGCAAGCTGAAGATAAATGATGAAAATTCAACTTACCAGTGCCTTTCTTAATCCAAGGAGAGACCATGATTGTTGGCACACGAACACCAAGCCTGTCAAACTTGAAGAAAGAAGGAGCAGGGCCAGTGTTTCCATCTGGGTTGGGTACATTGACATAAGGAGTCTTGACATGATCATAGAAACCACCATGCTCATCATAAGTAATTACCAAAAGGGTTTCATTCCATTGAGGACTTGTTCTCAATGTCTCATACACCTCCTTCACAAGCTTTTGCCCATTAGCAACATCATGAGATGGATGGTCATCATTTGCAGGCAATCCCTTCAGATCAAAATATCTTGGTTCGATAACTGTTAAGCTGGGAAGTTTACCGTTCCTAGCATCTTTCTTAAACTTTAAATCAAATTGATGAAACTTGAAGACATACTTCAATTTCCTCAGATTTCTATAGAACAAAGTTGTGGGTATGTTTTGGAAGTAAATGCCAAAGCCCTTACCATTCTCATGAAGTGATTCAAAGATTGTTTTTTGTGGGTAGCCTTGAGCCAACTGTTTCTTAACATGACTTGTTGAGCCGTGAGAAGTAGCAGAATACACAAACAACCTATTGGGTTGTGTTGGACCAGGAATTGAAGAGAACCACCTATCAAAGACTGCAAATTCTTTTACAAGAGCAGCATAAACTGGCACAGCCTCAGGCCTAAAACCTTTCATGACAGTCTCAGAGAGGTTCTGAGACATTGATAGTGCTTGTTCCACAAAGCCAGACATGGAAGGAAAGGAGGCAGAGCCAAATACCTGTTGCTCCACTGCTTCAAAAGAGTGACCTGGATCCGGATCCACAAATTCAGCATCATCAGTGAAGCAAATGGATTCTGGGTTTGAATTTTTTGTTGAAACAGGATTGCATTCATCCCCAGTTACCCCATTGATTGCAGGGTTAATGGATTTCTTCATCCACCCAACCATATGATCAAAGGATCTATTTTCCATCACCAACACCACTATAGTCTTAATGGGTGACTGCTGCTGGGCTCCCAATGGTGTCAAGAGACATGACACGGTGAGAAACAGCGAGAAAATGAAGGAAAATGAAGTTGGTGGCTTGGCTTTGGATCCCCCCATTGAAACCAGCAGAAAGGATTAGACTTTTACTTATCTTGATAACTCAGGGTCAGGAGGTTATACTTTGCCTTTATAGTGGGCTTCCAGGAATCCGAAAACCTCTAAACATATTATCCTATAATAATGAAACAAATGAATGATAAAAAGTGATTACTTGATTGGGAATTCAATACATTATCGGATAAAGTCAGTGTCTTTTGCTTAGATATTTTCAGTGTAGAGAAGGGAAGAGAGAAATTCTCTGTGTACAAAGGATAGTAGACACAGAAGACAGACAAACCCACAGAGATAGAAAAAGAAGATTCTGGTTTTGTGTTCTTTATAGCGGTGAATGCTTTTTTATTTTTTTATTAAAGGGAAAAGCAATAAAGAAAATGACATCTGGAATGTGTGGAATTTGTTGCATTTTCATGTCCATTTATCAAGAGGGCAAGTGAGTTGGATTAAGCAATGGTGAAATACTCCAACATTTTCATAGGATTTTCAGTAACTTTTATGACAAATATTCTCCCTGTTTCTTCATTCACTCACTCACTCTAGTGCTCAGTCACCTTTCAGCGGGGGGTAAGAAAAAAAAATTGATAAAATCGAAAATTAATTTAAAATTATAGTATTTAGATTGATTTTTTTATTTGATTTGGATGAAATCCATATATTAAATATATATTAAATTTAAATTAAATTTTAAATTTAGATATGAAAAATTAAAAAAATAAATTAAACCGAATTATATTTTTTAAATTTTTATAAAATAAAAATAATTATTATATATAAAAATTTTATTAAATTAATATAAAAAATAAATTTTAAAAATTAATAAATCAAATTAAATTGATAAAATTCGATATAAATCGTTTTTATTCATCAATTGGTACTGAGAAGTGTTTAGAACTTCGTGTAATATGAAGACAAGAGTGAAGAATGTGCATGACAATAGATTTGGTTTTTTTATTATCAGAGAGAGACAGCGGTCGTTGTGCTGGCAGTGCCAACATTTAAAATAAGCATTTCCAAATCAAACAATTTGACATTATCAACTAGTTTAGTTAAAAATAGTATAAAGCAATACTATTAACTATTCATTATGTTTGACAAGAAAAAAAAAATTTTCAGGAAAGCATTTTTCAAACCATATTTTCAAATGATTGTCACTGATGCAAAAGCTTGTTTTTCTTTTGTTATTTTGGTGAATAGAAAATTTGTGCAAAAGTTGATCATCAAAGTATAAATGATATATTAATATTTATAAGTCATTTGAATTTGATTTAGATAAAATTTAAATTCGATTTGATTATTATTGAATCGAATTTAAGTTTGAATAATTTAATTTATTGATTAAGTTGAATTCGAATATTTTTATATCAATTCGAATAACTCATAACTTTTATCGAATTTTATATTTTAATTATTTTAATTAATAAAATATCTTAAATTTAAAAACAAATAATTAAATTTTTATTAAAAATAAGAATTAAATTTATTTTTATATGTTAATCGAACTTAATCGAATGAATTCAAATAATTTAATTTTTATCTCGATTGAATTTAAATTAAAAAAATAAAATTCGATCAAGTTTAAATTAAGTTTTAAATTTCAAATTTAAAATCAAATTTGAATTCAAAATTTATATTGTATTGACTCAAATTCGATTGATTATACTCTTAATTGAGAGTAAACATCCGTTATGCAAAATTTGAAGACCCAAAGAGTATTTTTTACAAACAAGCAAAATTTTTTTTCTCTTAGCAATGGTGAAGTAATGAGAATTAATTGGGATAAAAAAATGTAACAATTATTTCTTAATAGTGTTATGTTCTCAAATTCTAAAACAGGGAATAGTGAAACACTAAAACATTTTAGCAGACAGACAGTACATGAAAGAAGAATATAAATTGAAGTAAGTGGAACCAAAAAGTTTGAAAAGCAAAATGAAATAAAGAAGATGGTGTCCCATTGCCAAGATAAAACTTCAGTTAACACCATCACTACCCTGTAATCATGGTGGCCCAAGCAAGTGCAGTACCTAATCTAATTACTTTAATCCAATTTCTTTACTTTTTTTTTTTCTTTAAAAAAGTTCAGTTTCTTTTGCTTTGGATAGGACAAACACCCTGCTTTATCTCTTCCACTAACAGAACATTAAATGATGTGAAAACTTGGACAAGTTTTGGTCAGTCTCATTAATCACTAATTAATTCCTAATAATTAAGCTCTAGCAGGGTGATAGAATATAAGTTTTGTTTTAATTCAAAATAATAACGAAAAATACGTCATATTAAATTTAAAAATTCATTCATTTGATTCATATAATTATAAAATTTATTAAATTTAATTTTTCTATTTTCGTATTGTTAAAAAAAAAAAAACTTATGAATTGAGCTGACGGTATTGTTGATATAAAGTAAGAGTTTTATACCTCTAATTCAAATTAAATACTTAGTATGTTACTGTTCAATCATCAAAGTGTAATGCATGTTATAATCTTTAAAGCTTTGGAATAATTTCAGATTTGATGTAACATACACTACTTCACTTTTCTCTCGCTCGCTAATGGGGGAGAGCTCATAAAGTATAGATTTTAGATAATTGGAGACAGCTAAGGTAAAGGCGTGTTTGGTCCTTTCAGCCTTTTTCACAGTTCCATGGGCTAGGGTAGAGGCCCCCAGAGGAATCTGGTCTTTCAACAAGATAAGTAACCATGGGTGCTTCCCACCAAAAAATTATGTGCTCTGCGTCACTACTTTCTCGCTTAGAGACTAACGAATGTGGAAAACCACTGCATTTTTTATTCTTCTTTTGCTCCAAGAAGCCGACTAAAAGGAACTGAAAAAAAAAAAGTCAAAATATTATACTACAAGACCCAAAATCAGGCTTTGAAAGGAGACAAGAACTGAGCCAACCACAGCTTGAATAGGCTCAAATTGGACCCACAAACCGACGCTGAAACTTATGTGCTCTGCTTCAACCCCAAAAAAAGAAAAGAAATCTTGTGGTCGATGTACCATTCTTCTTCAAGACTAAAACTCAAATCCTTCGTTTCTACAATTTAGTTTCTTACTGCTTAGTGTTGGATTTTCGTGTTTATGGCGATGGCGATCTGTCATGTTGGATTTTCGAGAGAACCTGTTGGACACCACAAATGGTGTCTTGGGTTTCTGGCACTCAGCCTTTTTCTTGAGGTTTTTGTTTTTATTTCAATTTTTGTTGTTTTATTTCATTTGGGAAGAATTACCTCATTTTACCGTGTTATCTTACCTTGTTCAAGGTCAAATTATTCGTTTAAATTAAAAAATTTATTCAAAATTTGAAAGAAATTAAATAAAAAATTATAACTCATTAAATAAATTTAAACATAACTTTTAGATTTATTAACCGAACTTTAAATAAAATATTTAAAATTAAACCACACTATTGTTCCACGGGTCCTTGTTTTTCAAATAATTATTTCTTTTTTATCTGCAACCAATTAGTATAAGCCAACCATGCAAGATTGATAAAGTAGTGAGGGAGTGGATTGAAGAATTGAAATGTACAATAACAAAGATAAAAGATAAGACATTGATATCAATAATATTATATATTATTTAAAATATTCATATATATTATATATGGAGAGAAAAGATTATTCAAAAGTAAAAAAGAATATAAAAATAAGTATATGAGTTGATTAAAGAAGTTGTTAGAATTTGATTATATAAATTGTATTTGATTGCTATTAAATCAGTCAACAAGATTTTATGTGATGCATGAAATATAGATAAAATTATATTGCATAATAATTAAAATATGATTTGATTATATATCTAGAGTGTATATATTGTAACAATTTTATTGCTTCTTTTAGGTAAATAAAATATAACTTATTCAAAAAAAGTATTTAAAATTAAAATTCAAGCTGATCTAATCTAAATTAACATATATATATTTATTTATTATATATATATAAATTAAAAAATTTTACATATTTTATTAAACTTAATTTTTATTTTTAATTTTAGTTTATATATATAAATTGAATTTGATTTCATTAAATTTAATTTAATCAAATTTTTAATTTTTATTATATATATTTAATTTAATAATAAATTAAAATTTTATTTTTTAATTTAAACTAAACTTAAAAATATTTTGAAATTTAAAACCCTATCAAACCTAAATAAATATATAAATTATTACTAATAAACATGAACCGGCTACTTTCCGTCCAATTCACACTCACCCAACATGCCGCCAGAGCTGTCATTGGTACAGTCCTACATTAACACGTTTTATCGATGGTTTGGTTTACGTCGTAAAGATGCAATGAATTAAACCAATTTTGTCAAGGCTTTGGACTTTAAAGATTGTCAACAGGAAAGGCTTGGAACATGAAAATCTGAAGCAAATTGTATTTCATCAAATGCTACTGTTTATTTTCTTATACAGGGTGATTCCACCCTTCACTAAGTTGCAAAACTTTCAGAGATAAATAATCATGGATACAACCACAGTTCAACATTGTAAGCAGCAACCAAGTTGACCCAACAATGTAGGGAAAGAAATCAAGCACGGGGAGTGCCTCCAGGCTAAACCCAAGTTGACTACTCGGTCTAAGTGAAGTTTAACAATGCTAATTCCCGGCTTTCCTCAAGTATGCTAACAAGCTAAGCCCAGCAACAACTGCAGCTCCTGCTGCTACAGCACTGTATGCAGCAGCCCATGCATCAGACTGAGCATAATCCAAGCTTCCCGAACCCGAGCCAGAACCCCTTCGACGACTTTGTGTTCCTGAATAATCTAAATGCAATCTCAAACCCTGCAAAATCATCAATCAGTTGTCTCAACTTAATTGAGATGGACAAATCCAATGAGGTTTTCACTACTACGAATAAGATGCTAACTTTACAACTCTCACTGATATGCTTGGGAACTTAAAATGATCAAATCTGCAAGACAGATTAGACCTTTCAAGGTTCCAATCCAATTAAGAAGAAAAAAAAAAAGAAATAATTAAAAGGCTTAAGTATAAGAAAAGCCCCTGAAGTAATGTTAAATAATCATCTAAGGTCCTATCATTTTATTTCAATCAATTGAGCTCTCGAACATCTATTTTCACCCATCCATATAAAGACACAGTCCAATCATACCTTCCAACCAACTAATTTTGCATGCTCCACAGCCGCTGCAAGATCATTGTCTGATGCCAATACAACTTTGTCATGGTCTTCATCTTCATACTGCAATAATATGCCCCCCAATTAGCATGGAGTAATAAAAATTAAATACCCAAGTAATCATCATAAGAATAAATTCTTTTTCTAAAAGCCCACCAGAATTTGAGGCACGCTGTTTCTATCTATGTCATCATCCAGTCTCTGAAGGATTGCAGTTATCAGATCTGTC